CACCCGCTGGCATTTTTTAGTAAAACATTGAATCAGACACAAAGGAATTATACAGCTACAGAAAGTGAAACATTAGCCGTATTAATGGCTGTACCACAAATTTTCGAGTTTATTTCGGCAAATCGCCAGTAACAGTCTTTTTCGGATCATGCGGCTGTTGGTAGACTTTACTCGGGGAAAAACCTAACGCCCAGGTTAATAAGATGGGCTTTAAAACTCCAAGAATATAATATCACAATAAAATATAAACCGGGTAAGGAAAACAATGTAGCTGACGCACTTTCTCGTATAAAACTGGACGATGAAGGAAATGAACTTAAATGCGCTGTGTTGACTTCAAAAATTTTAGATTCTAGAGATACGGTTATTACTGAACTGAAAGCTGATCCTGAATTTTTGGAAATATCTATGATTATTTGAAAGACCCCGAAAGCCTTTGAGCACACAGATATCGATGCGATAAGAAATAGAGCAAAAAAACTATGAAATAATAGATAATTTATTATTCTATACGAAAACAACAAACGAAAATCTTGAGTATAAGCCAGTCATCCCAGCCTCGCTTCGATTAAGCATTTTGAAGGTAGTTGCACGAAGCAAAAAACAGCGGGCCACCTAGGGGTCAGAAAGACTTTAAAAAGGGTACGCGAGGCGGTATATTTCCCGCAATTATACAAAATAGTAACGGCGTATGTCAGGTCCTGCAATCAATGTCAGTTAATAAATGATATTAATTACAGCCCGGCCGGGTACTTAAATAGCACTTCGCGCTACATTTCCGAATGAAATTTTAGGCGTAGATCTTCTTGGTCCCTTCCCCCAGAGCGAGTTAAATAAAAATCGTTTTCTTTAGTAATAGTAGATCATTTTCAAAATGGACAGAAATTGTTCCACTTAAAACGCGCGTCAGCCAAACAGTCGCAGATGCATTCTTACACAGATACATTTTAAAATACGGTGCACCGATAAAAGTCATTAGCGATAACGGAAAACAATTCATTAGTCAAATATTTGAAAACATATGCAATGGACTTGGCATACGCCATATCAAAAATGGTTCCGTTTTAGACCACAGGCTAACATAGCAGAAAGAGTTAATAAAAACATAGTAAAAATAATTCGCAGTTACGTTAGCACCACATCACAAGCGCTGGGATGGCTACATAAATGAATTAGCTTATGCTTTAAGAACGGCACATCATGATACTACGGGAAAAAACTCCAGCAGGAATTATTCTTAGGCCGAAAATTAATTACGCCTTTAGATAAATTATTCTTTGTGCAACAAAGAGAGCAGGAGTTTACAACAAAAGATGTGCAAAAGCTAATTGATCAGGCGCTTAAAACCTCGGATACGGCAAGAAATAGGCAGAAAATATATTATGATAGAAAACGCCGTGAAGCAGATTTTAAAGTTGGGGATAAAGTATTGAAGCGGAAATTTTCTTTATCAAGTGCCCCAGACAATTTTATGGCAAAGCTAGCTCCAAAGTTTGAAGGCCCCTATGTAATTCAGGAAATCAAAGGAGTAGTATTATATCTTAAGAACGAGAGAGGGGAAATCTGTAAAGCAAGTCCCGACCAGGTGAAAAAAAAATACTATAATCCAAATGATTTTGAAATCCTTAAAAGTTTCTTGCAGGACTCAAGTCTAAACGAAATAGAAGGTCCAGAGACAACAACAACTATTCCACCACCCAAGAAACAGAGAACTGAAGAGAGACCTAGCACTTCTACAACCCGGACGTCGGTATCAAAAAGAAAAAATAATTTTCAAACTCTGGCGTTTAAGAAAAAACAAAAATACAGGTGCACCGGTAAAGAAACGTAGTAAAGAGAAAACACCACCTACAAAGGATAGCAGGAGAAATTACACATCAAGGAGAACGCGCACACGGCCACAGAGTCAGGTGCCAGCAAGGCCGCCGTTCCGGAAACTGAAACGGCAACAGGAGGCACAAAAATACGAGGAACACAAGAAATTCAAGAAGGACTCCAGACCGGAGGACGTCAAGACCAGCCGTCCCAGGGAAAAACGGAAAGACCAACAAACAGACCATTACTCCGCCAAGAGGCCAGCATGTAGAGGACGCAAAAGAAAAAGTGTGGACGATACTCGGAGGGCAATAAGGAGAAGATTGAGATCCATGAAACCTCTAACTTGGGAACAATTTTGCCAAAAACGAATGACGGAGTTTCAAGCATCGGAAAACTCAAAGATAAGTTAAAACCTTCTATAAATTTTTTTTCTCTTTTGTTCCGAAATGTTTATGCATAAATACGAAGTTTATGTTTTTGACGAAAGTCAATATGTCTCGGTTGAGACTTAGTTTTGTTTTACTTTATTTAGCTAGGCTAAAAGTATTATTTTCTTTAAGTGTTAAAAGCTAAAAACAAGCATTTTTCTGTTGGTCGAAAGACTAATTCTGTTATGTTAAAGCCAAAATTTGGCCGAAGATAAAAATAACTTCGTATTCTTGTATTAATAAGAATTTTTACGTTTCAGTGCCGCCAGCTTGGCGAAGAATGAGTAAAGTAAAAATTTATTTTCTCTTATTCATTTTATGGTAAATTGTAAAAGCATATGTATTAAAATTTTGTAATGTATGTAAATATTTGAATGTTATGTAAAGTAGAATTTAGTCTAGAAGCATAAAATTGTAGATGCTAAAAGTGAATGCTTAAAAGCAATGAAGTCAAAATTTAAGTATTAAATTGTAGATAAAGTCATGCTTAGAGCGAAAGCCTGCATGTTTAAAGATGAATGAGGGGGAAGTTAGAATGAATGTGTTTTGTAGGGTTCTCCACCTACATTTGAATTTTTAAGAATATTAAAGTAGCTCATTGAGTTGTAGAGAATGTTCGAGTAAGGTGTGTCTATTTGGTCGTTGAATTCTAACAAATCATGGTGGTTAGGGAAGTGTTGTCAGACTAAAACACGAATATTCCCGTTTGACACCACACACGGTGGAGAGAGCCAGGGTAAAGTTAAATTAATGCTTGAAAAATTGAATGAATGTGAAGTAAGCAATAACTAAGAAAAACGAATCGTTTAAAAACAAAAATTTATTGTGTCAAGAAAGTGTAAATTATAATGTATGTAGAAAGATACTGATACTTATTCCTTTCAGATGCTGGAAGGAAAGACCAAGATTGATTGATGAAGTCCAGGAAAAGTTGCTGTAAGAAGAGAGCTTTATAACGATCAACAGAATTTTAGTATATAAGTGGTTACATAAGATTTTTTTGGTGTAAACGAGGTTCTCGCCAGTTAGTTCAGAATTAGAGAAACTTACAACAGGTCGTTTGTAGGACCTGCTTCCAAGTTTTCCAAATTCTGGCAGCGGCAATGTAGGGTTTATATTTATTTTAACTAACATTTATTTTAAGTTTAAACTATCTTTCCTGTCAAGCCTTACTTTCCCCTGGAATTGCCAATGCCAGAAATATGTAAATTTTAGTAGAACGCGCAAGGATTCAAATTATCAGCGGAAGTATTATGATTTAAATAGAAGGAAACGAGTTCGGTGTGTGATTCTTACTTACGACGAGCGCGGAGGTAGTTAGCGAGAAATTGAAGAACCCCGCGTTTCGGCCTATGTGCTTGGCGGGAAGTAGTGTTAATCGTTCAAGTGAGCTTCAAGTCTGCTGAATTAGCAGCGGTATTGTAAAACGCGGTGAGTTAGTTATTTTAGAGAGCCTCGTAGTTAGAGTCTTGTCTTTAGTTTCTTTTCAGGTTATTATTTTTATTTGACCGCCAAGTTGGCGCCGTCTGTAAGCGTCAAGAGCACGCAATTGTAATTTTTACGTTGAATAAAAAGGGACTTAAACCCTTCACAAGACTCTATCTTTTATACAGTTTTCACAGTCACCCCTTGGTTGCGTGCAAGTTGGAGGCGCGCAACGTTACAACTTCTTAAGTATTTTGAAACTTTTTTCAAGACTAAAACCGTTTTCAATAAACTGGGTGTCCTCTTGCGAAATATGAGCCACTGCTGGTGATCTATATTGTCAATGTTAAATATGTGTAAATAATTTTTCACGTTAAAATTAAATCGGACGGCTGTGGTGTTCTTCAGGGCAATTGGCCACTAGTGATCTACAGGTGAGGAATCCTAAAAAGAACTATGTTTAACGCTGTGCACATGAATTATTATTGCGATTGACGAATGCATTTTTAAAAGAGGATTTACGAGTGTTTATATTGTTGCAGTTTCGGATTCTTATACATCTCTTCAATAACTACACCAAATGAATAAAAGGTCATTTTATTGAATTAAATAACAGATCAAACCAAAGTAAATAGCTCGAGCAGAAATCAGATATAAGAGAAATTTTCCTTTACCGATGTAAATAAATACATACATACCTCTGCATTTTCTTTGCATGATGTAATTTTTTTTTCCTTTTACCCCCCCACCCACAAAAAAAAAAAAAACTGTTGATGAGAATAACTGTGTTGCAAACCGCGTTCAATCTTATCAACTTCTCCTTTCTACGAATTTTTAAAATATTTACAGACTAACGGGACACCCTGTTAATGCCATGTCCATCAGCGGCTGAATGTTCGCTGAACACTGATATTTCGATCTGAATTCAAATTCATGTGATCGGGCTTGCTATTACTGCGCATTATCATGGTTTATTTATCCTATACGTAACATGGATGCGAACTAGTTTCCCTCTGAAATCCCTCCACGAAGGCACCCCTAATGTGGCCCAACAAAATCCACATAGCCTAAGGAGCAAAGGACATTTGCGTGACCGACTGCATAGTTGTCTCGCTAATAGTGCACAACATTTTAAAAATGTGTTTTTTCAATAAATAAAAGTGAAAAGAAGAATGATAATAATAAATGCCATTGTGCATCTTATTGCTTTGCAAAACTAATTAATGTTTGAATTATATTTAATAATGTTGGTTGCGATATCAAATCGTCAAAATCGCTCTTACTTTCATTTTTATCCTAATTCCGAATTTTTTTTTTTCAATCTTTTAGATACTTATTTCTTCTGCATTATGTACATTGTTTTTCTCCGGTCCTCAGAGCATACTAAGAATTCCACAAGCCAGAGTTAATCATTACTCCTTCGCCGTCCTGGGACCTCTAAACATCCTCGATGTCGCTTTCACTTTTTCATTCCTAATCGCTGCGTCCAAGTCGGGAAAATATTTGGCACTGGAAGTTCCACCGACACATCCGGTGGCTCTCGTTTCAAACATTCTCTTTATGATCAGCTTGTGCGTGCTGGGAATCGAGGCTTTCTATCCGCTGCATTTCCTGACTGAAGACATGTCGACTGACGGTTTGCTATTCCGGAATTTCTCGAAGAAGTGGAAACCGTTCTGCTTTGCCATTATCTCGCCATTAGTCCAAGCCATCATTGTCATAGCAGTTGCACTCATCACCGTGTTCCTTCCACTAATCAACATTATATGCTTAGCAGTGGTGTATCCTCTTCTAGTCAACAGTGTGATTCCGTTTCTTGTCCTTCTCCAGAGGTAAGGAATAAATTATTTAAGTCAATATTTCTCAACCAGCTGTCGTGCCACACAGTACTGAGTCAAAAATCCACAAGAAAATGAGCCAGGAAATTTTGGCCTCAGCACACATTTTTAGCATATTTCAGCACACATTAGTACTATTTATTGTTTGCTTGTCGTGAACACATTTATGCCTATTATTTTGAAATACAAATTATATGGTAATATTATGCAAATTATTTTGAAACAGATATACCACGCTACCAACTTTTGCAGTAATTTATGTGGCTTTCTCACCTTGGTAATTAAGTTTCTCCTTGTCAATGAATCGAGCGACAATAAATCGATACTATCCACATTTTGCGTAATGTATGCATTCTGATTCTCCCATAATAATGTCCACATTATGTATAATGACTACTGAAATCTGTGCGAAGAAAATAAAAATTAAAAAAAAAAAAAAAAAAATACCCTTAAAGGTTTCAGATTTTAAATTACGTCCAAAGGGGCGTTTTTTTAATGTTTTGTGTGTTACCTTTATTTATTAAATATCATGTTCTTTGCACGTAAACCATAAAATTCAGTTCAACAGCAATTTCGCAAAATAATTTTAAAATGAGCATGTCTTTAGAATTTCCGATACACAGTTCCGCGCGCTGGAGATAATTTTTTTTTCCCCGTAGAGTGTTGCCATTGCTCGCTTTGAAATCCTTGAGTTTGTTAATCGAAAATTCGTTAAAGTTTTACAAAATATAAAATCGATAATAAGACAAATTCCAAATTTGGTCTTCCACAAGCTCATATTCGTAGGAGGATTACGTCATTCAAAATTCGATGGCTCTATGTACCGTTGTTTTATCACAATGCGAGAAATATACATACATTTATGCATATTTTCCATTATTTAATTTCTTCAAATATAATGCAAGACTCTAACATTTGGTAGCAACAGTTTGAAAAGTGAAACGGACATTTTTAGTGATTTAACGCAAAGTCGCAAAACGAAAACAATTGTCCTTCAGGGACAAAGCCCCTTTGGACTAAAAATTAAAAAATCCGAAATGTTTCAGATTTTAACAGTCGCTCAGAAGTATTAAGGTTTACTATGCTCTCGCTAGCCTCACAGTCTACAAGCCTGCTCTTGCACTCGCTCCTTCTAACTTTTTTTTAGATTTATTGTTAAAGATCGTTTAATTCGCATTTACGCTTTTTGCAGTTTAATAATAAAATTAGAAATTTTTTTAAAGCTGCAGAGTTGCATATGTTTAAAATTCTCGATGCAGTGTTAAGTTTTGGCATGAATTCTTTATATTTTTCAGTCTTTTCTCAATTCATCATATCAATATTCAGTTTTCGTAGTTAAGATGGCTGACAACAAAATTTTTTGTCTTTTTATTATTAATTTTATATGTGTTAATTTTATTTATTAAATATCATGTTCTTCGGAGACGCCACATGAAATTCAACTGAACAGCAAAAGTACAAAATATTTTAAAACAGTATATCTTTAGAATTCCCGATCGAGTGTTAGAGGTTGCCACACATATTTTTATATTCGCTATATTATTTTTTAAAACACAAGCCGCAAGGCGGCCAGCGGCCTAAAATAATTGTTATTAAAAAGAAAATGTATGTAATGATTTAATGAATCCAGTTAGTGTAATTTCGTAAAAATATTGACTATTTCTAATTAGACAGCTCATGATTTTGATATACATGTTTAAATAATAAAGTAGTGTTGATAAGTAACAAAAACTTACGTGTTCTTAAGAATTGTGTTTATTGCTTTTAAATCGCTTAGTTTATTATTACTCAGTAACCTTTCGGATAAAATTTTAAAGTGTCTTAGGGTTTACTGAATGGCAACACGCTGGCACGTGGAAGATAAAGTATTTTACTCCTGACCTCTTCCAGGAATTCTGCAAGTCAAAACCAAAACTTCGAAACAATTTTCGGATAGCGTACTTGTCGCAAACATCTAAAATAATTAAATAATATTTTTCATTTCTGTTATTATTTGAATAATAGAAATATTATCAAATATAAAAATGATTTTCTTTTAGTTTTTCACATAAACGGCGCACAATATTGACATGCTTCTTAGTGCCTTTTTAACATTTCCTTTCCTGTGGACGACAGGAGTCTATCCTTCCTAAAAAATCATACCTTTAGGGTTCTCGAAGTCAATCAAGTTTGAAGACTCTGAAATAGGATATATTACGGCTAGAAATAAATAAAATTTACTGTGATTTCTTTTCGGTTTTCATATTAACTTGAGCGTCGTACAGATGTGACTAGTGACAGATTTATGAAATTAGATTGCGTCCTTACCTCAACGTTTCGGAGCTGTCTTCCTAAGGCTCGAATTATGATGACTATTTGTAAAAATTAATTAATGATTTGGGTGCCTTAGAAAGCTCTCGAACTAGTTTTGTCAATCCCATACTTAAATTCTTCCTTTTTCTTTTTTCCATACATAAAAGAAGTGCTCGAATATGTAAAGGAAAATAATTACGCGCAGTTAAAACTATAGTGAATATGTGTAACATATACCATGTTAAAATTTAGAAACTGTTAGGAAATGAAAATTTTTAGCAACTAGAAAAATCTAACAAAAATTCCAGCGACAAATGATAACGTACTTTCCGAGAAATGGGTGCCTTAAGAAACTGACAGAATCATATTAAGTTAAAAATAAATTTAAAAAAAAAGTCAAATAGAGAACGGGAGGAGGGGGGAATTAAAATATTTTGGCGTGAAATTACGTATAGGAATTTACTTGGGTCTGAACCATTACAGAGTATGTAGCTATTATAGAATTACTGGAGGAGGCATCCTTGGAGCGAAATTTCTGAATGGTACATTTTTGTAACTATTGTAACATCTTTCGAGACAGCATTGGAAAAGCACACGCGTGGCAGGGCAGCAAGGAGGTTCTCTCCTCTCTTAGCTAAAACCTACTTCTTAAATACCTTTACAGATTGCAAATCATTAACTTAAAATTCCTACTCGCGCTTATTAAGGCCGAAAATGGAAAATCAGAGAGGATAGCAAAGTTTTAAAATAAAATAAACGTTAGTAAAACTTAAAATAAGGATTTTAAAAATTATTCCAGTCTGTCTTTACAGACTACAGACTAATTTCGTAAACTGCAATGTTAAAGTTTCTGATCCCTTTTCGCTCCCAGGAGCTTAAAAAGGTTATTAATAGAGCATAATATATCTTTAGCCCTTAAAACAAAGTATTGTCATCTGGCGCTGTTTAAGCTTTTACACATTCAACCTATATCATTTAAATGATCTTTCAGTTGTCTTTAAATGTTAGGCTTTTATTAATTTATATTGCATTTATGCAAAAATGTTACAGGAAAAAGATGGCGCCTAAATTTCTACTTTCTGTCACGCTCGTTGTGATTCCGTAACAGAGAAAGTTTTAATTTTATAGGCGCGAGATGAAACTTTTGGGAGGGCATTCCTTCTCCAAGAACATGCAGCTTAACCCAGGAATAAATATTGAACATAACTGTATTTGTGTTTCATTTTTGTCTTTGAACAATAAGCAGTGATGCAAAGTAATTTGGTTGAATTATGAAAAACTGAAAAAAACTCACTTTTGATGGGTTCTGTCAGTAGTAATCAATTTTACTTACTCAGAATTGTATTGGTTATATTATAGTTATGTCACTACTTGAATGTTTTTTTTCTTTAAGGTATAAAGACAATACTTCTTGGCAGTATGAACCCATGTTCCACACATCTGCAAAGACATTATCACATGATCGCTCACGGAAGAAAAGCCAAGAATCTCAATATACGAACAATCCAGGTTATGATGTTACAGATAATTTAGAGATGTCGACAACGTGCATTGATGAAAACAATACAGAATCGAGTTCCGACACGGATGTCGATTCTGTGGTCCAGCAATACAAAGACCAAGCACGAATTGCCAATATGTCAACGCTTGATGGCCCAGATTTGTTAAGACATGTTCCAGAGCCTACGCCAACAAGTTCCTTCCGTGCTAAATTTGTTATAGCAGCTTTGTTTGTGATCATGCTGATTGCATCAGTGACGCTGAATTTTGTGCAAACGGACGACTATTTTATAATCATCATTGTAGTGCTATTGTGCATATTACTTTCAACCGGTATTCAAGGAATTCTTGTTTGCTTACCGCAGAATCAAAGGCACAGAACAACGAAAGGTTGCTGTATTCAGTCACCAAGTATGCCTTGGATTCCTAGTATCGCTTCTTTCATTTCTAATTGTTTACTGGTAAACTGCCTGAAGCAAGTGTGGTCTACATATCTTGGATGGTTTTTATTAGGTAAGTGTACTACATAGTTCATATCCTAAAAAAGGTGCGACAACGCTACGTGGCACATTCGGAAAGTTAGAAGAAACAAACTGCCATTGGAATGAATGCGGTACGGCAGTGGTATTCAAACATTTTGGCAGTGCAATCCTATTTGAGACATAGAGGCAGCATGCTGACCCAAAAATTAAAACAATCAATAATCTAATTACTCAAAAACTGCCGCGAGGTAATATTAAAAATCCGATTTTTTTAATTTACTTTTTTATTTCCTACAAAACAAAAAGCAAGTAAAATATACTGAAAATCAACTGTGTAGTTACCAAATCAAATATTTAGTTGAAACTTTGACAAGCATTAATCAATTATAAATCAAAATTAAAACATGGCATATATAGAAACATTAAAATAAAAGTTTAAAAAGCTATAAAAAGAAAGCATTTAGGGAGACCTATAAGCTTGTTTTTTTGGGGGGGGGGATCTGTTGCTGTTTCAGAGACATTTCTGACTCTGTTTTGCTCAATTTAAGTCTTAAAGGTTAGTCAACTCCTTTGTTTCGGTATTTAGATTTTCGATACAGAAATTGGGAAAATCACATCTCTCATGATGAGGCAAATGGTAATGATACCTTTACAGCTGCATCAAACAATTCTGGATATTCACTTCGAACTTAAAGCCAAAAATTTCTCAGTTCAAGCTCTTTGAAAACAAATTTTAGTTCTCGATCAGAAGATAACACAATTAGTTTTCCGCTTCGATGAAATGACAAATTTTTGGGTAACACACTCTGAAAAGGGTTTCGGATCCATTCTGAGTCAGAAAAAGAAGTCAACTTCCGGAAAAAATATATTAAATTGATATTTAAGATCTTCCGTATGAGTTGTTATATCTTTAATAATCGATTGAAGAACATCTAATTTGTTCTTCGTAAGAAATATTCTAAGTAGGAATTTATCTCCGAAAATGCATCCTCTGGGAAATTAATCTCCTTGCAGTATGAGAAACAGAAATCAATTTTCTTTCTAAAGCTTGATTTTTATCATTAGCTATAAATATATTTAATTGTTGTTCTTGGAAGACTTTTTAGCTTGTTCAATCTGAGAAAAATATCACATAAGTAAGCTAACCTACATAACAATTCTTCATCAGTTAATTGTAACGAATTTTTATCATTATCATTGTCAATTAAAAACAAAAACACTTCATCTTTAATTTCAAATAGTTTAATTAGGACCCTACCCTTCGAAGCCAACGCACCTCTGCATGTTCACTGTCCATTTCTTCACATTTTTGAGAAAAAAATCCTTTAGAACGCTCCTTTAAATAATTTATTATTTTAACTCCAGTATTTGAGACAGACGTTTAAGTTCGATGGTATGTTTTTCTATGAATCATGCAGCGAACCCATGCTACATTGGGAGAGACTTTTTTGCATTAGGGAGAAACATCTCCGCTGTATTTCTCTACCATGCCACCAGCTCTATCACTGCCTACCCTCGCGCAGTTTTACCAGTTTAAACATTTCCTCTCCCATAGACTTTTGCAGTTTCTTGCAAAAAGAAAATTTGCAATGACTTCATTTTTGTATACCTATTTTGCAAAACAAATTAATTGTGCAGTGTTTTGGAAATCGGTGGAATCTTCGAGCTGAAGACTGAAATTTTTACTTTTTTGGATTCTGATTATAATTTCGCTGTCCAGATTATCTTCCATTTCGCATAATATGAGACCAGTTTTTGTATCCGGAGAGTAGTATTTGATACATCTATTGCTTTTCCTTTTCACCAGACATAAAGCTTACTATATCTTGAACTGGTGGAATAACTTAAATCTTCAGCTATTGAGCATGGCTTACTAGTTTTAGTTATACGATAGCTTATTTAGTAAGAAGCTTCCAATTTTATTTTATTAATATCTGTAAAAGCAGACATAAAGTTTTGCTTACATTTCAGATACCTAGTTTTTTTCTGAAATGGTTTAGTGGGTTTATGTTTGGATTGCAGGTGCTTGGTGAATATACTTCTGCAGTTTAATTGAGTTCAGTGACTCGTTTAACAGAATTGCCATGTTGGTTCATCATCTTCAGTACATACGAAACCACATTTTATTTACTTTTTTTTCCATTGTCAAACTTACGAACTTCTTTGTTTGCTTTTACTTCTTTATGTCTCGACTATGTAAAGACTGAAGCGTTCGAACGTGTTTGATCAGTTTAGACGAAATTAAAGCATTCTTCTCGCCATTTTTTCCTTCATGGTATGTTTTTTTCAATTATCTTTCCAGTTGTTTTCCGCTTATCCATAAGGAAACATAAATTTGTAACTTTCAAAGCAGTCCACTTAACAGGTACACTTATATACACTAAGTTAAGTACTAAATTTTATGCCAAAATTATAATTAAACTCACAAATGTGCCACGTCCACTTAACGGTAAGTAGAATCTGCGCTCTCATTACTCGTTGACGTGCTCGTTTTTTTTTTTTCTTTTTCTTTTTTTTTTTTTTTTTTTTTCCTGAAACAAACGCGATATCACTGTCTATCTACGAGAATAAAGTGCCCTCGCCATTATATCTAGTACTAGTTTATTGTGGTTCCTAAAAAATAGCAGCTGAGCTGGTATATTTTATGTAGGAGTGAGCCAAATTAATGTTTTATTGTTATTTTGTTTTGGGCGAAAATCGCCCTCGGTAATGAAGCCAATTCTCAATTCGTCATTAAATGCACAAACTGAAAAGCAAATCTTCAAGACACCTTTACGAAAAACGGCTTAGGGCTCGTTTCTACGGCAACAGACAGCTTCAAACTATCTGTCGAGAGCTGTTCCTGTGATAGACAGACAGTACACAACATCATTCGAGGCATACCCAGACTAAATTAGATTTTAGAAGAAAGGTTTCAAAGATATAGAGTCCTCTCAATGAAGTCGCTATTCTAAAAGTATGCATAAAATAGACTGTTCTAAAAATAGACTAAATCTAGAATTTAATAATTTTTAATAAATTCTACAGAGTAATCTCTACAGAATTTAATAAAATTTCACATTTTAAAAAAGAAATTCTTTCTCAAAAAAGTTTCTCAATGATTTATTTGTATTCAACATATTTATTTACAATATTCTGTTATTTTTCGCAACCCATAGATTGAATACCACTGCGGTACGGCGCTTTGCTCAAGAGCTGTGTGACTTCAGAGTAGTGTAATATCTCTAGATATATATACTAATATATAGAGACGAAATAAAGGGATAGTGTGGTATTATAGCAAGTTTGCAAAGGTCTGCTAGATGCATCTCATAACAATTGTCTAAACTGCCGACCATTGACATCAATACAAACGGCGCTAGATTTTGGATTGTTCAAATATGCCATTGTAACACATTCAAATATATCAAGAAATATTAAGATATTTCCGAAGGCTAACTGAATGCCCACAAGGGGTTTCTCTTTTGAGATCAAGAAATCCTAAACCGAAGATGGTTTCATATGCCCCCCCCCATTAAGTTAAAGGTGGGTTTCAAGTATTGCGATCTATAGACTATTCAGGCGAACAGAGTTTGCTTAAAACTTGCTCTATCCCAGAGTAGTAAGTGGCGCTGCAGATTTTGTATCGGTGATGAGTCTAGCACGTGCACAAGTATTTGTTAGAGCAAAGCTGTATATACAAGATGGATAACATTTGATTATAACAATAGCTCGTCTAAGGCATTTCAGAGGAGGTGGAATGTAATAGATAAGCTCATCAGTTGACGCTCAGTAGCATAGCTGTTGCCGCTACGCTGATTGATTTAATTATTAAATTGGGGAAATAGTGCGAAATAATTGGCTTGCGTTGGTTGAAGGGAAAGAGGCAGAACACATCATTTTAGTTGTATTATAAAGACTTCGGTTGCTTTGTGGGAAAGACGTTTCTTCTAATGCTTGCCATAACTGCCAACTGTGCCGGTTTTACCGGAAGATTCGAGATTTTTCACCAGATCCATCGATTTTTAAATTTTTAGCCTTTAATAAGGAACGTGTTTTTCAGCAAGAAATTTAATTTATTAACTTAGTTAAATTGCGTAAGTTTTATTCCCTCGTCTGTAGTGATTTTCAATATGATTTTTCTTCTTAAATTTTATTTTTTTGTTCTGAATTATTTTAATTTATTTAAAATTTTATTTGATCTGAATTCTTTTAATCTATTTGATTCAAATAATCAGTATGATTTAATCTAACTGATTCAAATAATGCTCAATCGGTTAATAATTGTTTAATTTTGTTTTACACCAATATACGGCATATTAGTAAGTTTATCCACATGAAATCATGTACATTGATTATTAATTTTATTTTCATCATATTTAAGTATTTTGATAAACATAAGTTTTCCTTACATAGGATCTGCAGAGTATAAAAATGCCAGAAAATTATAAAACGAAATTAGCCAAAAACATAACATTTACTACATATACACTGGCGGAAAAAAAAAATCCTAATATCAAGAAGAAGTTCTGCTAGATAAACGAAATTTGGTAGGCGTGTTTATACATCTGAAGGATAACGTCTATTCATTTTTCCAGCTAGGCGCAAAAGTGTGCCACTGTAAACATGCACGGTTTTCTTTAAATACGTACGTCGTAAAGTTCGTGAGCGTTATTTATCGTTGGGATTTGATGTAGTGAGTTGATGTTAGTCAGCAATGCCTTTAAGAAAACGAAGAAGCCAATATCAACAGCTCAATGAGTTTGAACGAGATTGTGTAATAGGGCTGAGAAGTTGGATATTCTTTCTGCCATACTACAGAAAGACATTCGCAGAAATGTACCCACTGTGCATAATTGTTGGTAGCAGTGGTCAAAGGAAGTTACTGGCTCAAAAAGCCTTCGTTCCGGGCGGCCACGTGCCACTACTGAGACCGCCGTGTGTCTGTGGCGCATCATACTGCATTTGCAGCAAAAATTCGAGCTGCAGTTGGTACCACAGTGGCACAACGAAATATTACAAATTGGTTACTTGAAGGACATCTCCGAGCCAGACGCCCTGTAGTGTGCATTCCACCGACTCGAAATCAGTGCCGTTTGCGACATAAATGGTGTCAAGCTAGTGCTTATTGGAGGACGGAGTGGAGATCTGTGTTTTCTGATGAAAGCCGGTTCTACCGTGGTGGCAGTTACAGCCGTGTGTCGAAAAGAGGCTATGTGAGCGCCTGCAACTCAAGGTCCGTAAAAACCGGACGAGCCTTCCTTGTAACCAACCTGTCTGCGGCCTAGACATACACCTGGAGGTATGGTCTAAAGACCAATTTCATATGACAGCAGAAGCACTGTCATGGTTATTCGACGCAACCAGACTGCAAATTTGTACATCAATCTGGCACCTATTCTACTGCCATTCATAAAAGCATTCAAGGGTTTGTTTTCGAATATAACGCATCCTTCAACGATGTAGATGCTTGTGCAAAATGTAATACAATATGTGCAACGCGAAGTTCTAACAAACACTCAGTTGTGCATTTCAGCTGACGGAGAGAAGTATGCACATAGAAAATAAAAGTATCCTGTGATAACTAGTTGGAACGAAACTATCTTAGAAAGAAAAAAAGTCAGTACGCGTTTAAAACGTTCTGTTTTTAATATTCATGTGCACGAAGTGCTTAATATTATTTACGTGTTCCACCCTAAGGCACTACACGGAAGGGAGGGATGCCTTCATGAAGGACTTTCTAAGAAAACTGGATCGTATTAATACGTTACACATGGGGAAAACCACGAAAACGCCCATGCAGCTAGCCCGTGCGCGAGGTTGAATCTCGGACCGAACTACCAGAGCTCTGGTCCGTATAAGGTATTTCTCTCACTTTCCTAGCCTGCCTTCGTGGTGTAGTGGTTATGCACGCTGGGCCGATATCCCGAGGTCCGCGGTTCGATTCCCGGCGAAGGCGGTTGCTAATTTTTCATCTCTCCGGCCTCCAAAAAAATATCTAATGTCTCTACAGTGGCGCCCGAACTAAAAGGGTGTTGAAGGAGGATTCTCCACACCCAGGATTTGGCGATTGGGTCCCCTAAAATCTCCAGTCGCCCTTTAAAAAGGGGAATATATAAGGTATATTTCCTGCCTTCCTAACGTGCCTTCGTGGTTCTGCAGGCTGGGCCAGTATTCCAGAGGTCCGCGGTTGGATTCCCGGCGAAGGCGTTGCTAATTTTCCATCTCTCCTGCTGCTCCCCCAAAAATACCTAATGTCTCTACAGTGACGCCCGAATTAAAAGGGTGTTGGATGAAAACCCCAGTCGCCCTTTAAGAGTATTTCCCCCGCCCTCTTAGCGTGCCTTCGTGGTGTAGTAGTCAGCACACTGAGCCGGTATTTCAGAGGTCTGTGGTTCGATTCCCGGAGAGGGCGATTGCTAATTTTTCGTCTTGCCTGCTTCTAAAAAATTCCAATGTTTTTACAACCGTTTTTGAGATAGGAATGTTAACTCCGCCAGTTTCCACCAGGTGGTACTGTAAAGAATCTCATCTAGCAGCGCATAGTTACTTTACGTAGATACCCTTTTATACGACTATAGTTGCAGACGTTCGCATATTAAACGGGTGATACCAGACTTTATTGGGCACCCTGTATATAAATATAAAGAAAAGTTGAGAAATTTTAAAATAAGATGATATATATTTTTGGAGTCATGCAGTATGCAGCGAATTTAATTGAATAATCAAAAGGTAAAAATTAAATCAAAATTAGATAGCGAAATGGGGGCAACTTCCAGCAGGAAATACTCGCATCAAGACCAACTCAAAATGGAAACAAAAATAATTCAATAAAATAAAATTAATAAAACATAATTAAAATTGAATTTTCTTTTGGTTTACAAAAAAGTTTAGAAATACTGCTTGTTCTTTGATTAGAAACTTATTTAGCACATTGCTTTTAATTTCCCAGTTTTTTTTACTTAAATTGATTTTTTTAACAAAATTTTTATTTTAGTATCACGTTGGGTAAGATTATATCAATGATGATTAATTAAATTGAAAGTATCTTTACTTTGTTGCATTTTAATTACTTTAATTGGCACTTTCTTTAAATTTTTTAAGCATTTCAAGAATTCACAGTCATTTAGATATAATTCAGATTTATTAGTCATTTAGATATAATCCTGGTTCTGTTGAAAATTGTTTGGTCTCTCCCTTAGAAAAGACCAAGAAATTTTCAACAGTTTGATATATTTTATTAAAATTATTTAAATTTTATGAATTGCGAGATGAGTATTTCCTGTTGGAAAGTTGTTCCCTTCATTATCTAATTTTGATTTAATTTTTATTTCTTGATTATGAATATATGTATATATGAGATAGGCACTAAAAGTAAAATTAGTCAAAACTTAATTTGATGCTGGTTTTACAGAATACTTTTTAATAATTTTGGAGGAACGATGTTCAGTCTCTTTTCTTCAATAAGCAAAATTATTCTGCATAATAGCCCATAAATATGCATTTAAATAGAAAAATAGCAATAAAGAAGCAAAATTCCTAGTATTTCATGTTTAACAAAACAGAAATCAAGATTGTAATGTTATGAAATGCCCCCCCCAACATTTTCAGAAAAAACTGGATTGGAATGAAAATGATCAACTTCTAAAGAATTAAAGACATTTTTTTTTCACTTGCTGTAGTAATAAGAACACAAGTGTACTAATAATCAGGTTCAATTTCGGGCAAATGCACAATGAGTTAAATTTTTTCGTTCTATGAATTGTCTGTACAAATGAAATCGATAGCTTCGCTGGACTTGGAAAACTTCAAGGAAATCTAATTCAGTAAGATTAATTCCCCTGAAGTTTTTCAGAAAGTTTTTGTCAGGTCATAATTTAATATCCAAGAAACCATTTACATTCATCAAAAATCTATCAAAATCTATTTAATGATTTTTAAAATTAAACTCGTATGTTTCATATCGCTATTTTTTAATAGGTAAGAAATTCATTTATGTTCCCTTTAATTCATTTTAAAACTAATAATTTCCCATTTTCATTCAATCAGTTTATTATCACACATATCAAGATGAAAGCTATGTTAGCCCAAAAGAATTTTAGATAAATAACCTAGTTAGCATGTTAAGTTATCAGTACACATTTCAAGATCACTTACCAGGCAGTATAACTGAAAAATATTTCAGGTTTTTGCCTTTCAAGTGGAAGCACATTTATTTTCCAGTAAGAAATATAATTTACCCATGTATCATAATATTCTTCTTCAACATATTCTGATTACAGTCAAGTCTTTATGCTCAAATATATGCAAATTTTGGGCACAAATGTGTTCTGAAAGAAACTGCATTGAATTCACTGAAAAAAGTAAAATTTGTTATAGTTTGCACAGATGAAATAATTCATAGGAAAAAAACCATGAACTTTCTTGTTTTTAATCAAATCATTGTGCGAATTTTAGGGCATTTTAAATTGCTGTAAATAATTAATGTGTATCGATATTTTGCAGATGTATTCATGTGTTTAAAGGGTAGGCACTGTAACCTGTTTATTAGATATACAGTGAAAAGTCTTTAATCCGGACCTCAAAGCTGCAAACTTTCTGAGCATGCAATGTGTTAACGCATGCGCATAATACCTTTACGAATGCGCTTTTAATGTATAACGGACAGTAGAAGCTGAAATTATCTAATTATCTATTTCAGTTAAAGTTGCAGATTGCGTTGTTCCTTAAGCTTCTAATTGGATCCGGCTTATTATTTTTTGCAGACTGTTAGAGCAATTTTATAAAAGTAAGCTTGAACTTTCGAGTATGTCAAAAAGTTTTTCCAATTCTGGAGCTGCCAAAGGATCTACAAAGCGAAAGCATGTTTCGATGTCCATTAAACAAAAAGTGGAATTGCTGCAAAAAATGGATAAAGGCATGAAGAAAGTGACAGAGAGGTGATTTGTTTCTCTAACTATTCCGAAATCTGTTTATCAATTTCATGCTGCTCTGCGGGGAGGGGGGACGTCGCGGCGCGCAATGAACTGGAAGTTGACCTGTCAGCACAATCCTTATCTTCAGAGCAGATGTTTTTATTTTATTCGGCTTATAATTCCTTACTAAATGTAGTATTTCATCTCGATGTACTCCGTCTTTGATATGATTTAAATCAAATTCCTCGTCATTATAAATATCACGAATACACATCAAATAGTTTTCTGGTTGCAATTTTCTAATTTCGATTATGCGTAATGTATGCTTTACGCAGGCGTGCATTGAAAGAAATGTTTAATAAAGTAAACAAATAAATATTAACCTTTTTTTTTTTTTTTTTTTTTTTTTTTTGTAAATTTTGATACCCTTTAGATCATAATTGCTCTTTATTTCATAAGTTACGGTTTCATATTTTTAATTTTATAATTTCTGCATGCCATCTTACCAGATTTAAATTGATGATCTATAATCCGGAAAAACCGATAATCCGGAATCGCCGAAGTCCCGACGAGTCCGGATTAAAGACTTTTGACTGTATTGTTATTTTATTATTAATGATGAGGTCAGCTTAGCCATTTCACAGAATGATCTCCCTACCAAATATACTGTTGATAATTATGTCATATATATACTCATATTTATTTGAATGAGCTGATGTATGGCACTTGATTCACATTAAATTGTTTTTTTCCTATTTCCAGGTATGCTATTGTACTTTTCTTATGGAATACGAAGCTCTACTGCAGCTAACTCTTTCTACAATCTCAAACCTGCCCATATTGCATTACGACCACTACCTAGTTATAGAAATAACTGTGTGACCCAAGTCATACCATCTCAGCGAAAAAGAGCCAAAAACAAAAGAAAAATTAAAACTGGAAAGCTATGAAATGTAAAAAAAAAAATTACTTATTAAAATAACTTATGCTTCTTGCTATGCTATAAATTAATTCTTACAAAAGACTAGCGAATTTTTACTTTTAATACATGTTACTAAATTTGATAATTATGAACGGTAACATTTTTTAAGAAAATGATTTGTAAACAGTACATCTAATGATAACCAAAACTGAATTTTTAGTTGAACAAAATCCTTGCTTTGCTTACATGCTGCACAAATCAAATACTTCAATTACACTGTGTATATTAGTGAAATAAGAATGAAACAGAATTAGATGGGCATAATTTATTTTGCAGAATTTAAACTATGGAAAAGGAATCAGCTACAAGAAGCAAGTAGGTATACATTTTCGATTTCATTTTAGATAAAGGGTGGTTTAATGAAAGGTTAACCTTTTTCTTCTTGGTATACTTCATTTCACAAATAAAATTAAGAGCCATGAAAAAAATGCTTCTAATGAAGCAAAACTGAGGACAAATATAGCACATTCAAATAATAATATTCAGTATACTCAGCACAGGCATAATATTGATTCAATAAACGTTTGAGTTCAAACTTAGGAACAATGTGGTGCTAATTAAAGTCACGGTTCATCCTCATTATGAGGGTACTAAAAAGCACTCAGCTGAAGATCAATTCCACAGATTCTCAGTCACATGCTTTAGTTTCTTACGATCTGCTCAATGCCCTTCATTTGGTTGTTATAGTATTACACAAAGTCTGTGTCCATCATTGTTCTTCAGGTCAAGAAATTCCACGATTTCAAAATATGTACAGAAAAACCAAATCCTTAGATTTGGGTTTTATTGTTTGCTCCCTTGAATTCAGTTCTTTTTTTACTTTATTGACTCTTAGTATGCATATTTTCTTACTGTTGTAAGGTTTATCATATGGATGAGGCAAATTGCACTGCTTTATCAGCAGTGGCTAAAATTAGTGGGGGTGCTGTTCCAAAAAATTTAACCTTTGTTTTAAAATTGTCTAAAAGAAATAAACATGCATAAAAAGAAAATTTATTTTGAAACTTCATGAAATCTTACAAGAAATAAATTAAACATTTCTTAATTACTTCAACCAAAATTGTTACAGTTCAATCTTTGTCTATTCATGAAATCCATTCTTCTTGTTTTAATTTGTGCGAAAAGATCAATAATTTTATCCTTGATCTCTGGATGACAACTGAGGAAATTTTTCTGTATTGAAATCAATGCAAGCGCATTTAGTCTTTCCGAATTCCTAGTGCTTCTTAGAAAAGTTTTCATTCTTTTCAATGTTGAAAAGCAGCGTTCTGCCTCTGATGTAGTCATGGGAACTATCAAGAGAATTTTTATCTGTTTCGTAATTTCACTAAGAACATCATCTAGATTATTTTTCGAAGATAAATTTCAGTAGCTCAATTAATTTGCAGTATTCATGGATATCAGACATACAATAGAATACTTCTGGTTCAGTTTCAAGCTTTTCTTTGTCAATCATTAAATATGCTTCAGTGGTCAGTACTATTTCTTCTGTAGAATGTTCATTCCTAAAACTAGCGAAGCATTTCTTGTTTAACAATTTAGCAGCTGTTAAGTGTTTAGTGGAAGAATATCTGGGCATTATATCAATACATAGTATAAAGTCACATATTTTCTTAGCTTCTGCCATCAGTGTCTTTGAAAATTCTTACAGTACTTTGAGTTTCTTGATTCTAAAATAGAAGTTTTTGAAATTTGTTATATATTTATTAACTTTAAACAACATACTAATTTCTCTGGATTGCATTTAGTTGTGTATTATTTCAACAGATGTCTCAATCTGATAAAAAAGCTCTAACCAAAACTTGAAATTATCATCATATAATTTTTTTTTTTTAATTCCTGTTGCTTTTGCAATAGTTTGATCTGCATTTGATGTTGATTGAATTTCAGTAAGGCAATTTTTTAAAGGTTGCAAATTTTCATGAACTCTGTTTATGGTCCGTATGATAAAGTTCCACCTTGTGGAGGAATACCACACGTGCGGAGTAAAAAGAAATCATGTTTCCAACAACATGCCAGAAATTTGGCACTGCAAGAGCGACAGTGCACTTCTCGCTACCCAGCTCGCATGCTGTTTTCTGTGCGCAGAACAGCCAAACACCACGTCGCTGGAACTGTAAAGTGCGCAGTTCCAAACAAAGAATTTCGTACCTTTTTCACAAAGTAGGGGATGGCAACTGACATTAAGCTTAAGGATTATGTATTGTAAAAGTATAAAGAAAGAATTAAAGACTAAAGGGCACACTATATTAAATATTAAAAATAATAATAAGTGGAAATAGGGGGTGCTGCAGTTCCACAGTGCTTATTACGAGCCGCCACTGTTTATAAGACTGATTTTGATGAAAATATCGAACCCATCGTTGCTAGAATTATCATTAGAAGTGCTAGAAGTTCTCATTAGGACCTAAAAATCTGATAATTGGATTTGATAATCTTTTAGCTTCGAGAGCCTTAAGTTCTATTTCCTTTCACAGTAATGATGCAGATAAGAAAAACAGGCCAATGTTTTCCATAACAAACAATATCACAGAACAGCAGTAAATCAGCATAATGACCAACATTTGGTAAACAGAGACAAACTCCACAAAATGTAAATTAATATATATCAATCAATATAAGTCTTTGAAACTGACAAAACGGCAGATGCCATTATTACTAATAACAATAATCATCATACGACAATAAAAAAATGAAGGAACATTTAGAAAATATAGTAATATATCGCTATTCCTCTGTACACGTAAAATATCTAAGAGACTTGACATAAGTGATGAAAAATTATTCTTCTGTGAAGATTATCACATACATTTGATTTCTTAGAAAATTTATGTGACTAAATTATGGTCAGCTGCTTAGCAAAATCAGACAGCTATTTTATGAATTGGCCAACTGATCTAGTCACAATCTAAAATATATACAAATTTATCATCATATTTTGACTAATCACTTCTAATCACTTAGCAAAAGAAACTGGCCAGAATTATAAATTATGTTTCAGAATTTTTCATGAAATTAAATTTTTTTTGGATGAAATGTGTATTTGCTTTTTAAAGGCATTGCTTTTTACTACACTTTTATCATTAGAAATCTCTATGATGGTTTCTGTGCATCACAAATGTAAGAAAATAAAGTACAACAATTGATTTTTAGTGTTAGGTTTTCATAAAGTCCCAATCACATTATATTTCGGCTACGCGGGACTTGACGTCGAAAGGGACAATTTTCAGAACCCGCGCAATTCCAGGAAATCCATGTAGCTAAGTTACCATTTTCGCTTACTACCAAGACTTGAACGGCAAACATTAATCGATTGTCGCTCAGATTGGGATGACATGAGGCTTCAGAAGCAGAACTTTCGTCTGATTGGTTGTCTCTACCCGGGACTAAGGTCCAGCCGAGATATTTTCGGTGAGGTTTGAAAAAATCCTGCGTAGCCGCAACATGGTTTCCGTAGCTAGGTGAAGCTCTTTTTTCTAGGAATCCTCCCGTTTAAACCAGTGCTACCAGAATCTCGTTTCTCAGAAAAGTCCCGTCTAGCAGGGACTGTAGCCATGTGTGATAACCTCTTAATGTAACATTCACATAAAACAGATTATCATGATAATATTATGAATTTTTATGCTAGAAACAATTTAGCAGAGTCTTCTTAAACTGTTTAGAACTTCAAATTACATTGCATTATCATTTGTTAATCAGCCACTTACTCTAGCAACTGTTGCCTCTACAGGCAAACACTACAACGTACTGCATTGTCTGATATCTATGACTTATGTACTGACTATGATCATAAACAAATATGTTACCAAGGATCAATAGTTTTGACACACACCAGTGTTCTTTGGTATAATTTTAATTTATATATTTGTCTAACGTTTTGGTGCATAATTCTGAATAAATTTAGATAGATTTTTAAATTTAATTAAATTGGTAGACATTGATAGGCAAGTGCCTCAGATGAGTAATTAGAAGGGGTGCCAAATAAGCTGTGGAAATTTAGAAATTCATTTTTAAGAAAGAAATTACATTCCTTAACTTTCAGTTTTGGAACACATCAAGAGGAATAAAAAAAATTATATTATAAATCAGTCCAGCTGAATCTGGAGAATTAATAAAGCTATTTTTTTTCTCAGAACTGCTGGTGAACACTATATATATTATTTTCTAACATTAAAACTTATTGTAGGAACTAATGTATATAAGTTAATTTGCACTTGTTTATGCTAACATATTGAGCTGCAGAGACTAGACTTTCTGACAAAGCATCATGCCGCAGACATGAGTAATTCTGTACTACCTCCCTTTTATTTGAACTAATAAGTTTTATTGCTCTTAGTTTACCCTAGCAATAGTTGTAAAGTCCACTAACTGAATATGGACAGCAACAAAACTGCCTATAGTTTCTGCAATAGACTTACCACATGAAAGCTTGTTGGAATATCATCAGGAGGTTAAATAATGATGTGTAAAGACAAAATATTTATTATACTTTCAATATTTTACTTTTTTTTTGTAAAACATGTCATTGAACAAGATGCATAGTTCGAAGTTTTGTCTTCTTGTATTCGTATTTAATGTGCACGGAACTGTGCACTTGGTTTCGTTCGTGATTATAACTGGAGCAGTTATGCATATTGCTGGACAAATTAACTTAATAGGGACACACATAAAGAAGGAAAAAAAAATTCTCTTTTTTTATATGTTCTATTGATTATAATGGATCCATAAATGAATTGCTTAGTATGAGTACAATTTGAAATACAAGTAAATAAAAAAAGAGATTTTTTATTTTGAATTTTTTATGGAACATTTAAGACAAAACATACTGGCTATTTCTAATATTACTGATATAAAAGAATATGTTTAAAAAAGCTTAGTTTTGTTCTTTTGATTCTAAAGTAATTGACAGAAAGAATGTATTAAAAAAGTATGCTTCTTGCTAAAGAATGTTTAAAAAAAAGTTTCTGAAAAAATTGAAACCTGAAGAAAGAGAAAACAATGAACGCTATAAAGCAGTTGATTTAAAGATTGAGAAAATCTGAAATGAAAACATCAAAATAAACTAGATTGAAACTTTTTTATTGGTGTGAATAGAAATCAATAGAAGCTCCTATAAAATTCTTGAAATTTACTACACTGAAGGCTACAGAGTCAGCTGATGAAGCAGAGTAAAGTAAAAAGAAAGCACGAAGCAACATTAAATCTTAATAACTTCTTTCAACATTAAATCTTAATTATAAATAGTGTTTGTTGTAAGGATTTGATGAGAACAATAAGTTACAAAATTTTATTTGGCAGCCCCTCTATTGGTCATATTTAAAATAGAATTAGCTAGCATATAATATCCTGCTCAAGTTCATCAAATAAATTTTCTTACAACAAAAATTTATTTGATAAAAGGTATACTTGTTTTAAAGAATACTTCTTTAATCAATTGACTACAATAAATTATGTGAAGCTATTTTCTCTAAGAGGGATATTTTCACGGAAAACATACTGAAGGAATTGTCTTGTATTCAAGAGTATACCAAGGAATCGTCTTGTATTCATTGGGAGAGTTTGAAAGTTGTATGCAGCAACCCATTCAGCATGAACCCAGCCTGTCAGTGTTACTTGCTTGGACACTTGCGAGCATGAATTTTAGCAAAAGAACCACAAGCATTTCCAAAACTGGATGAGGATTCCAAAGATTACATCCTAAAACATTGTGGATCACTATATTGGAATCTAAATATTCGTAAATTTTTGAAAAGTCTCCAAACCATTAGACTGGCCACTGTGTTTCTGATGACAGAATATTCTGCTAACATCACTGATCTCCCAATCTTATTCATGTTTTTAGAAGCACTTCTGCGAAGAAAACAGTAAATGTGCACAGGTAGGTACAGAATGGTTTTTTCACTGATGTACTGTTAAAAGAAATGTGAAAATTTTAATATATATTTAAGTTTATTTTTTATATATAAGTTTATTTTTTAATATGATATCTCTGTAGTTTGATACAGTTCTCGCATTGTTTAATGAGCAGCTCTTTGCATTTGAAGTAGTAATCTGAAGGTTTTTTTAGTCTTTTCTTTTATTTCTAATCAAAAGGTAAATCGCAGAATAATATACAATTTTAAATGTTAAAACTAATTACTGAATTACTTTTTATTCCAAATTGCCCAGATGTCTATAATTAGGTGCATGAATTAACCTCTTTGCCTCAATATATAGGCATGGCTATGCCTGCAATAATTCATATTCGGTCACACATGATTGACATATTGATTGCGACTGGTAGTCATTCAGTATTTCATCGCTCTGAAATGATACAATAAATTTAGAAGAATTTTCAAATGAAATCTATTGACCTACGGGACATGTTGGTTGACCCATAGGTTTCTGCTGTGGAGCAAATATTATATTAAAAGTATAATACATTGTCATTTTTACTGTTTTCTGGCAATCTATAGGCCAACACTTAAAAGTGTTGAATATTTTAGGCTTGGATGTAATCATGTACAAGACATACCTGTGTAGATCTCTTAATATTGTTATTTCAGACCCACTAAAAGTAAACACAACAGTATAAAATTCATGTAAACAAATATACATGGAAGTCTGTAAAAATATAACGAGTCAATACATCAAAGTACAAGTAGATTTATTATAGAACATTTCACCTTTTTTTTCTTTATTTAGAAACAATAAAAAATGTTTTAATCAGACAACAGCAATTTAACTTATCACTGGGAAGTATTTTTTTTCCTTAAAAGCAATTGCTATAAGACATTTACAATAGAAACACAGCAGGTAATAATATAACTATTGGCCTCCCTCATTTCTCAGAGGTAATATTTCCTGAAGCAAATGTTGTTCATAGCACCATGTCAATGTGACAAAAGATAATACAACTCATATCAAGAGGAAATAAAATATTATGGCAGTGAAAACAGAATGAATAAAACAAAAAAGTAACAATAATAATGTATCATGTGCCAACAATTAAAAAACTTTTTTGCCTGCTGTTTTGAGAATTAAAACAGTTTGTACCAAATATCATTTGAACACATTTGTGTTTAAATAAAATTAAAAAGAGATTTTCATAATTTCCCATTAACAAAAAAAAAGAAAATTATAGTTGAAAGTAATGTTCGTGGTATGATGATACTTATTCTTTATTTCACTACCTTAGCAGTCTTCAAAATATGCTAACTGTAAACTTCAAGATGGTGCTGCCTTAAAAAGTTAAATCAAAGCCAGTTCTTGTCCTCACATAGCAGCTTTCATGCATAAAATGCATATATTTAATGAAAATGCTTCAGATGAACATTGGTTTTAATTCTAGCCAATTCAAGTCTTTTCCTACATGATATTCCTTTCAATAGAAAGTTCAAGTTATATTAGCAGTCCAATTCTGTGTGGCTAGAACTTCCTACATTTAATTATTTCTGTACAAAATTTTCTTCTAGTTCATCCAAATATTCTCCACTTGCTTCACTTCTGGTATAAATAAAAAATAATAAAAATTAATTCCAATTGCTATTAAGTAGGATATTGTATTTTTAATAAAAATTAAACTAAAATAAAACTTACCATTATGTGATATTTTTTCCTAAAAATACACTGATGTACAAACTTAAAGAATAACATTTATAAAGTTTACAAACTTCAGAATTAAATAAAACAAACTCTGGCAAAAATACAGGTCTTCAAGAGGAAGCTGATGCATAACCAGAATAAGATTTCACAGCCTTAAGCAATAAAACTGAGGTTTGATAATTCTCAGATTCCAAATGGTAAAGATGATCTTACAAAGACCAAAACTCATTCCTCATTTCAGGTAGTGAAATAGCCATTGAAAATTAAGATGATTTCATTCAAGGTGAGTAACTGAGAAGCTAAAGAAAGTGTGAAGTATAGTTAGCAAATTCAATATTAATCCTACTGTTATATCACAAGCATCAGTATGAATTTCTTTCAAAACATCAGGTGCTGTTACTTATTCAGAAGATTAATGATGCTTTCCATCCAAAAACAATGCCTGTTGATGGTCACTTTATAGTTTTAGATACCCACACAAAATAATCAGCTTCAGAGCATGAGGAGATGAAGCCACATTAAAGGCAGGGTATTTATCTTTTGGCCAAATGCACATGTCCCTGTAACACCTGCTCATCAGCTTGCTGCTTTATAACAGAATAAAGAATATCAGTATTGTACACAAGGACTAATGAGATTTAGTTATGCTTTAGAGAAGGTTCTGGGTATCAGTTAATATGGTAAGAATTTGGTGAGTGATATGCTTCCACAAATATTAAGAGACTTATCTGATGGTCAGGAAATTCTTGTCTGTAAAGGCATTATACCAAATGGATGAAGAAAGGCACTGAACAGACTTATAGATATTGGAAGCAAGTACTTTAATCAGTACATATTATTTCACAAACATAATTCCCCTTACAATAATTTCTGTTTTAAGTTAGTGATGCTGACTGCTATACTGATGAGTGTTGATACAAGTCCCAGAGAAGGCATGGCTATTTATAAAGTGTATAGTATCTGTTTTTCAAGGGGACACTCAAACTACATGGTGAGCCGAAAGTCCTCATGAGGTTGGTGGTAGGAAAAGAGAGGTGGGAGATTCCTGGGCTACCTTGAGGTATTTTCTCTTGAAATTGGGATGGAACTGTATAGTTGAACATAGACCTGCAAAATGGGGTGAGACTAAACCTATACAATCAATAGTGTAATTCTGGTGTTTTGTCCAATTTTACCTGCACATGTTCCAAGGTAGTACTTGCCTCCAGTGTAACTTGATGCAACGGCGCTCCATTGCATCAATTGTTGATATCCTATTCTTTCTTTTGTATGAAACGGCCTGCTTCTTCCTCAGATTTAAATTCCACTGAACTGATCAATCTGAGATGCTTCAGGCAGACATTTTGTGGCTTTTCATACCAAAACAGCTACTTAACAGTTGAAAATGGATGGAATGGGCATAAAAAATTATCAGCAACTTCCATCTGAAGGATGAATATGAAAAGAGTTTAGGGTTTATGTTTAACCCTAAAAGACCCAGACTTCAGATTTTTAAGTGGCTCCCCAAAATATACTGTCTCTAGAACCCTATGCTGTTCTTAATAGGACCCACATGGTACTACAAGAAATGCATTATTTTAAGTAAGCATATCCCACATCAAACATTATCTCACTGTTAGTTCATGTGTGATAGCAATTTATTTGTCTGATGGCAATCAGTGCAAAGAACCATTTCTAAATAAAGTCTTCTAATATATTTCATACCTATTATTCTTACTGTTTTTTTCCACACCTAACCTCCTGCAGTGTAAAGGTGTAGATCTGAGTGGTGTACAAGTTTTGCACATCAGTGTATGTTATATATCATATGTAACACATTACACATCAATTTCTTTAAAAACTACATAATATGTATATGAATTGTTATCATTTTTGAGCCCACAGAAAAAATATTTTAAAGCTTTAAAAATTTTAAATAATGATGATAATACAAGTAAACACATTTATTTTAGATTCCGATATGCATTTTTTAAAGATACTTACTCTTCACAGTCCTGCACATTTGCACCAACTTTTGCACTGCTGTATAGGTTGATAGTACCTGAATCATCAATACGCAAATCCCATAAGCAACCAATCAAACCTTGGGGATATTTTCCAGCTGTCATACGCAGATGATTTGGCACACCACCTGAAATTTTGAGAAGTACTTAAAAAGACTTTGAAACTTTCAAAAATAAGGTTCTTAAATATCACCAATGATGTGCTAATGTCACATAAGCTATGACTCAAATTCCAATCAATAACAAATAAAACTGATGGCTTATATTTACATGCTCACTAAAACAATAGCTTTTCTTATAAATCTAATGGCAAATTATATTTTGGTTGCATTAAATTCTCAAAATAACAAAATTATTTTATAATCTGAATTTTAAAATAATCCATTCACTAGCTCAAATTTATATTAAGCAGTTAAATGTCTCTTGCAAGATGTCAAACAATAAGTTTGACATTTGCATTACAGAAGCACCAATTAGCCATAAAACTTGTGCCTGTTTCTATAACTACTACTAAAAACAAAGAAAATAATTCATGATCTTTTTTCAATGGATTACCTGTAAAACTATAATTAAAATATGCAAATATATGTATTATCTTTTATTTGATGGCCTGAAAAAAATATGATGAAGAAACTAACATTTTGGTTCAGCAGCAGAAATCTGATCAATTGTCCAGAGATAATTATATATGAAAAAATAAACATTTCATAATTGTCTGACATCATTGCACTACTACCACAAAACATCCATGGCTAATCTCCAGCATTCAACAAAAAGAATCGGCAAAGGATTATTTGTTTTGCAATTTTAATGCTTCTTATCCAAGAAATGTTTGGAAACGAAATTTGTAAAAACATCAAATTATGAGATTTTCTAAAAGAAAATGTGTAACTGACATACCAATATAGATATCTCCATCTGTGTTGAGCATTTGTAAAATTCCTTGAGATATTCCTAACTGTTGATGAAGATCATCTAATATAAAACTTCCATGTTTGCCAGTTCTAAGTTTGGGAGAAGAAATTAGTCTGATGAATTCTATATATTATTAAACATAACAGCATACAAGCATGTAGAAAAGAAATAAAAATGCAATTTGAAGGCTTTCTTATGCAAAAATAAATAAATAAAATTTCTTATCAATGATCTCCAATAATGAATTGCTACTTGAATTGAAGGAAGCAAAGATGGATGGTTATTTATCCATTTAAGGTACTTAATATCACTTATCATAGTAAATATTGCTGAAAATTTGAAATATTGATTAAAAATGTGTAAATATATTGCACAAATTATAACCGGAACTCAAATAAAATTTTAATGGAAAATGCATGTTTCCCTTTCCATTCCTAGGCTACAGGAGTAATTATTAACTGACTCTATAAATTCTTGTTATACTAGATTATGTTACTTCAGACATATTTAAAATACAGTACAAAGTCCGAGATTTGGACTTGCTGGATTTGGGAATTTTCCAGATTAACTTTAAATTGTTTCCAGATAAAATTTATTTACAATTAAATTTATTTCCAAATTTAAAAACTATCAAAGAATCTAAAAAAAAAATTTAAATACTTACTATATTTGCTGGTGTATAAGATGCACCTTTTTCCTTCAAAAATAGGTCTGAAAAATGGGGTGCATCTTATATGTCGATACTCAGTTTTTGATTACATTCAATTCTGGAAATTTCCTCTATTCGGATTTATGCAATTTTTTTTCCTTGTTTCCTCGTAGAGTGTGGGAATATTATAGTTACATAGAGCTGAGTGAATGTGCATGTGTTGTCACCGACAATCACAGCTGGGTTCGTTTAAACTTCCCAAATTTTGTGAACGACTTTTAAGTGTATGAAATTTCTACTGTTCAGTTTTCTCAAATTTATAGCTAAAAAACAACGTCGCCATTACTATAACATAGCACACAAGCTACGTGTGATTGCATATGCTAAAGAACATAGAAACAGGACTGCAGGGAGACATTTAGGGCCACCCCAACTGAGAAAATGATAAGAACTTGGCAGAATTATAACGATCAGTAATTAAGAATATCCTTCAAAAATGTGTATAAAAAAGGGGGTGAGTCTTATATGCTGGCAAATACGGTATTTGCTAGCTTTATTCTTCATTTCTTTCAATGCAACTTGTTTATGTTTCTTCATTTTTTGTGCTAATACTTTCCCTTTAATTCTATAGATAGATATAATTTCTTATACAAAGTTCAAAGTCTTGTAATTACCATGTTGAAAATTCCCACTAAACTGTCAATTGAAATTTTTTCAATCTCAGCAACTTCTCTGTGAGTTTCTTTATAATTGGTAGTGAAATTTTCAGGATTTGGAACCATACTACAGATTCACCATCTGTTTGTTTGTTGATTATTGGGCCATTGTCATCAGAATGGAATACGTCTGTTATATCATATTTATTCATTACAGTTCTTTGTATTTCTTCACAAATTCCATTAACTGAACAATTTTGCTGTTTGCTTACAACATTTGAAAATTTTCAAATTCGTGGCTATCATCACAAAGCTTCGCTCTGCACTACTGGCAATGTATCATGAGATTGGCAATCGATACATTGCCAAACATATTGTTCTACTAAAATTTATCTTGCTCCTATTGCATGCTGAATCTTGGTTTGGTTTATGTGAGTATGGCAAAGCTTTAAGGACCATCTGCCTAATGTAGGGATGCCTTCATGAAGGACTTTCTAAGGGAAACTGGCTTGTATACACGCTACACATGGGGAAAACCATGAAAACGCCCATGCAGCCAGCCCGTTCGCAGGATTTGAACCTCAGACCGAACTACCAGTGTTCAGCAACTTTACCACTCACCGACTGGTGGGCCATCATATGCTGAGGAAATTAAGCCCGAACTATATTAGTTCTGTTATTTATTATACATATATACATTTCCTGAATATGCTGTGACTTATCTTAGTCTAGAATAAATTTCCACATATACATTAGGTTTATCTGGACAACATGTCAGTTATTCTTAATTTAAACAGCACTAAATTTAATCTTTTGGTCTCTCTTAATATCATTTAATAAAATCTAATTTTTGCATATAGAAAGAAATCTCTGTTAAACTTCTCCTTATAAACACACTCATGTCTTTATAACATAGTTGGCTAAAGTCTGTAATGGTCGCCAAGTATAATGTCAATGTAAAAGGTTACCATTCTGTTTGGGATTCAATTTCTAATATTTAAAAGGAAACTGTTTTACACATCATGGTGCGAATCATTTCTCAAAGTGCTGATAGTCATGCTGCGATGAAAGCAAACATAATAAAAAATTATTCTCCAATTTAGATTCAGAAATGTAAGTTATTCAATAGGTTTTAAAACCTGTGATTTGTCTATGTAGAATATTTCTGTTTGAGATCTATGCAAAGCAAAAAGGCAGCTATTAAGCCAAATTACTGATCAGGTAAGAATAAATAATAAAGGATCGTGTTTCTCCAACATGGAGGTGTTTTATTCAGTGCCGAAATGGAATTGAGAATTATGACCCTCCATACGTTTTATGTGATAAAATATCAAATTTGCATGCATGAAGCATTAAGCATATAAAAAATTCCCCTCCCAAAAGAAGGTTACTGATAGTATTGATTTTAGATCATCCCAGATAGTGGACACATGGATTTCGGACTTTTTACTACAATTCTAATATACATAAGCCATTTCACTGAGATAGGAAAATAGGTTTACCTTTATATATTTTTTGGAACTAAACTTACATTTAATTTACATTCCGACTTTATACTTCACTTTTAATTTGAATATATATATGTTCAATTTAATTATATAAAATTTTTAATATATATATGAAGTAAATATAGATACCTTTCCTTACATACTTCAACACCACAAAAAAAAAAAAATAATAAGCATTATTTTAAATAATAAATATCTTAGATAATATATCTTAAATAAATCAAGCATAAATACAGTCAAAAGTCTTTAATCCGGACCTTAAAGCTACAAACTTTCTGCGCATGCGTAAACACATAATGCGTCTATGCATGTGTGTTTAATGTACGGATGGTATAAGCTAAGCTAAAATGATCTAATTATCTATTTCAGTTAGTGTTACAGATTGAGTTGTTCCTTAATCTTCTAATTGGATCCAGCTTATTATTTTTTGCAGACTGTTAGAGCAATTTTATAAAAGTAAACTTGAACTTTCAATTATGTCAAAAATAATTTCTGATTCTGGAGCTGCCAAAGGATCTACAAAGCGAAAGCATGTTTCGATGTCCATCAAACAAAAAGTGGAATTGCTGCAAAAAATGGATAAAGGCATATCCTTTGTTTCTCTAACCATTCCGAAATCTGTTTATCAATTTCAGGCTGCTCTGCAAGGAGGGGGGAGGGATGTCGCGGTGCGCAATGAACTGGAAGTTGATCTGTCGGCACTATCCTTATCTTCAGGGCAGATGTTTTATTTTATTCGGCTTATAATTTCTTACTAAATGTAGTATTTAATCTCGATGTATTGCTTCTTTGATATGATTTAAATCAAATTCTTCATCATTATAAATATCACGAATACACATCAAATAGTTTTCTGGTTGCAATTTTCTAATTTTGACTATGTGTAATGTATGCTTTATGCATGCGTGCGTTGAAAAAAATGTTTAATAAAGCAAACAAATAAATATTAAGCTTTTTTTTTCATAAATTTTGATACCCTTTAGATCATAATTGCTCTTTATTTCATAAATTACGGTTTCATATTTTTAATTTTATAATTTCTGCATGCCATCTTACCAGATTTAAACTGATGATCTATAATCCAGAAAAACCAATAATCCGGAAATGCCAAAGTCCCAACGAGTCTGGATTAAAAACTTTTGACTGTATTTACACAGATAGGGGAATTGAGCATACAGTAGCTAATCATGAATAGAAACTTTGCAGGTTAGTATACATGCATAGCAGTTTTTTAAATATTTTTTACATAATAGCTAAGTAAAGAAATTAAACTATACACCTTTTCAATGCTACACTGTGAATTTTACCATCATTGACTTTAACAGGTGATTTAATTTGAGCTGGTCCTCCACCAAGTTCAAAACTAAGTGACAAAAATAAAATCAGTTATTTAAATTGAATCTGAAGCAAAAAGGAGCAACACACTAAGAAAAGTATAAAATTATCACATTAAAATACATAAAGCCAATTAAATAAAGACATTTTAGAAGTAACTTCAGTTTATTATCCTGCTGAAACTGCATCAGTTAATCTTTCGATGGTCATCAATGAGCTCAGCTTGCATTCGAGTTATGCACCACTCTGGGTGTAAAGAACACAGCTCGCATTATAGAATTATGACTGTCAGATATCGTTCACATTTGGGGAAAAAGAACTGCTTAACTTTGCAACTACTGAAGGATTAAATGCAATTAAAAATTCCCATATTTTCTTTAACTGTAAAAATTTTCAAATAACAAAAGCTTTTAAACCTTTTTAAAGATAGATCATTAGCATATACTAAGGTATACTATTGTAATGTAATAATTAATTATGACTATAATGTATTTTGCAGTAATTTACAAAACAGACAATCTTCTTAGCAGAACATAAATTTTATTTCTAGTTCACGGTGATAGACAAATTTTATACAATTCTTAAGTGGCAAAATTTTCAAACTACTCCTAGCTGTTAAAATCTTCAGAATCTTTACTTTTAAAACAATATCTCACCTTGCTGAGTAACGGTTTAATACAATTATGGCATTGCCACTCCAACAATAATTATATTTATTTATTAAATAACAAGATATTCAAGATATTACACTATATTTAAATGGCTCTATAATATGATAAACAAGTATTTCAAAATCATGAAATATTTGAGACAAATAACATAAATTAAGCACTGAAGCTAATAAACATTACCTGAACTCAAAATAACCGTCAACCACAGCTATTGCCAAGTAATCTTGCCCCTTGCCATCACTTTCTGGTTTCTGGCCATGGAATAAAAGGAGACCTTCAAGACTAGTTGTTGTAAAACTGAAGCTAATAACTTCAGTTTTTGTTGCTTCTGTGTGAGGCAACAATTTGTCATCAAGAGCGATATACCCATCGCCTTTAAAATAGGCTCTGTCACTGAATGTTGATACTAAAACATATAAGCATTAATTAGGTATTATAAAAATTGCATTTTGACAGACCAACATTTTATATTCATATGTTCCATGAATAAAATCAGTTTCAAATCTTAAATGAGTTTTATAAAATTTTATTCAAAAAATTAAGTGAGAAAACATAATTAAAATTATCCTTAAGTTAAAAACAAGGAAACCTAAAAATCTTTAAGGAATCATATAATTACCTTATTCAGAGGATGCATATGAGCAAAAGATAACAACAAAAGCCCCCAAAACTGATTTTATTTTATAATGCCAGGAACTGAAACATTGCTGGCAAAAGTTCAGAATAAAACTAAATCAATGTCTGTTTCCCATTTGGCAGTTTTCCAGTTTATCAAAATTTTAGACTACATTTATTTCGAAGTAATATATCTTTCTCAAATATAACTCAATAAATAAATAAATAAATAAAAAACAGAAGTCTTCTGACTAGAATGTATTTATGAAATTATTTTATGATATGAATACGTATATAAATATATATATCAGAGAAAAATTTCCTGTTTTAATTAATAATTTAACAAATCAGAATTTTTGTTATGAACCCCTATAATGGATTTTATTATATGTAACAGTATTATACAACGAAAATTGATGAATATTATAGATATCACTGAATTTCCCAAAAACTACAAAAGTTTAAAGTAACATTATCTAAAGTACCATGCATGCTACAAAGAGTTAAAAATACTAACCTTCTTCACAATTTGTTCCTTTGTAGCCAAGAGGGCAGTTGCATTTATATGAATTTCCTGATCCAGAACATGTACCCCCATTTTTACATGGATCAATTAAGCTGCATAAATCGGTCTCTATTTCACAGTTGGTGCCTTTAAATTTGTATAAAAGAAAGGAGAGAGAAAGAATAAGAGAGAAAAGTTATTTAGTAGCAACACTTTAACTTCAGCAGTAATAAAAGACACACACATAAATTCTCAGTACAAGTAAAAAAAAAAATCACAATTTAGCATTACACATTTATTAGTTGTTTTAACATGAACTCCTTCACAAACTATGTATATCCTTCAATAAAATATTCATGTATTTATTAATATTAATTGAACAGAATTTGCTTATAAGATTTAATTAGTAAAAAAAGAGGAACATTTTTCATTGTTGTAAATGCATTTGATCATTTAAAGATGATCAAATGCAGTTACAACATTCAACTCAAAAATATAAACTTGTTATATTTTGTAAGTTGCAGATCATCTTAATTTTTGGAAAACAAATTGAAAGAGTGGGGTCAAGAATAAATCTGATTTATTAAAGGATCCTATAAAAAAGTTGCATTTTGAGTATAGATAAATAATATCCTTTCATTCCTCTCCACTGAAAGTCTGAAAACAAGTATATCAGAATTTTAGGTACCTATAAAATAAAAAATATATTTCATTTATCCGTTTCAAATAAGTTTTTTAAGACAAAAAATTGTTTTTTTTTTTTAAGTGAAAATCTCATTTTTGTGACAGATTATGTTAGATTATTTGAAAATAGCAAAACACACAAGGGCTACATGCCTAAGAGGAAGGATGCTTTCTTGGAAGATTTTCTACAAAAAGCTGGCTTGTATTCATGTTACTAAGGGGAAAACCAGAAAAATTAACATTGCAGCCAGACCATTCACCTGGATTCCAATCCTAGACAAACTACAAGTATTACATAATTCTTAACTGTTTAACCACTGGTGAAGCCAGATTTCCAACAATTAAACATTTCTTAAAATTTTGTTAGTTACATAACTCATATTTGTATTCTGACACTGAAACGTTAAAAACTATACAGAACGTTCTTAAAAGATATATAAAATGAAAGTATTATTTATGTATACTCACAATGTGATAAATTAACAAATATATACTATTCCCTTTAGCTGCATATAAAGCTCTAATATAGGTTAAGAAAACATACCACTATGAAACATATAGTTAGATAAAATTGAGCCCTGAAATGGCATTGACTTTACAGAAAAATTATCTGCAATTCAAGAGAGACTTGCAGAAGGACACTTAAAACAGACATAATTTTTCTGTGAAACCAATATCAATTTCAGGTACTGTTTTGCTTGATTTTAAAGTCACAATATGCACAGTAATGAGATATGCCAAAGAAATCGAAACCACAATTACCTTTTTTTTTTTTTTTTGTTTCACATTAAAAATAAATAAACCAATTTTTTTTCTTTAAATCAAAAGAAGTTACATGCACAACATATGGAAAAGGAACAAGGTAATAACAAATTTAACATTTTAAAGCTATGCCCTGCTCTATTTTAGACTCAAATTAGTTTTGTAAGGTAGGTGGGTTGTCTCTTTTCTTAGATAAAAGTATTCTGCTCTCAATCATTTATATAGGTAAAATAAATAGCTAAGAAGCAAAAAAGTATGTAAATTTGATAGCCTTCCATAGTTATCACAACTTAACAACTTATCATAAACTTAACAACTTGTCATAAATAATGATATCAATACCAATGGAATTCACCTCAAGGCTTTTAAAGATCTTATTGTGTATGAGATCTTATTGTGATCTTATTGTGATTTTTTGGATGATCACTTTCCACGCTGGATTGTGTTAAAATAGCTGCTTTCAAAAGCCTTACTTTATAATTTAAGATTCAATTAATTTCTAGTTCACAAATGAACAAGACACTGAACATTTGTAATTTGATCCGAGTTTGAATCTCGGTAAATAAGTTGGTTGTATGGGCATTTTCATGACTTTTCCAATGTGCAACATGAATATGACCCAGTTTCCATTAAACTATTCTTTAAGATTACCCATTTAGCTACAAAGCATTAGTGCGTTTGTTCGAATCAAAACAATTAAATAATCCTTCACATATTGGTTTGTTCAACAGATATTGCTATGATGTTTTTAAAATTTTATTTTATTTTTGCTTCACCTATTCTAATAATGTATTTCTGGCCTACAGTACAAGATACTTTATTCAAAGAAGTAAAGAGTATCCACAAATACAAGCACCTTAGTCAAACAAAATTCAATTCTTTTAAAGCACAAATGGGAATCTGAGGTTGACTTTTCTGTTAATTTCACATCATACTTCTATACACACAGGTATACGTAATTAAAATACTATGCATGATACTTTATATTTTTGTCTGTCCCAAAACATATAATTTTTTTTCAAAATGATTTTAAAATAGTTCAGATTTATATTTTTAAACTGCATTTAAAATACAGAGTAATTCCAAATTCATTGTACAAACTTGGAGGGGAGGTACAGAACAAAGATACGAATAATATTCACACAGGACAGCCAGGGCAGCAATCCATTTATTTAGTCATAAATACAGAGTGGCTCATTCAATTGAAACAAGATGTTTACAAGAACTGTTCAAAATTTCATCTACCAGCAATGACACCAGTAGTACATGCTTGAGAGCATTAGTTGAAAGACTGGAACGCACTGGCAAAGATACCAGGTATTTCACATACACATGCAGCAACTACTGATATTCGAGCAATGAGATCCTCAGCTGAGTCTACTAGAGTCACATAAACAAGACTCTTCAGATGATCTCAGAAAAAGTAATTGAGGCTTGATAAATGGGAAGAGCCAAGGGGCTGGTCACCACGACCAATAAATGCAGCCCAAAAGCGATATTCAGGTAATTATGAGCATCAGTGCTGAACTGGGCTGGCACCCTATTATGCTGGAACCACATTCGGTTACAAATGGACATCGGAGCATCTTGTAGCAGTTTTGGTAACACCTGTTCCAGAAAAATAAGATAACATTGGCCATTGAATCACTGCAGCAGTAAGTATGGACCAATTAAAAAGTCACAGACAATACCTGCCCACACATTCACACTGATTTGTTGTTGAGATGCAGCTGCCCATACATGAGAATTAGGCGCATTAAATACACCCTTGCAGGTAAACCTGTATGCCTCATCTGTAAATAGCACATGAGCTGTGAAGTCTGGCTGCAATGCAGGTTGCTGCAAAAGCCATTGGCAGAAGTTTAGATGCAGATGATAGTCTTGCGAATTTAAAGTTAGTACTTGCTGAAAATGGAATTGGTGAAAGCAATTTTTGTTTAACACTCTCCAAATGGTATGTTGACTCACACATACATTTTGTGTATGTGTGCAACAGCTTTTGTACTTGACTCAGGTCTATCAGCCATAATGTTCAAGATTCTTTCTTCAAATCTTGGACTGCATACAGTTCGTCATCGATTAGCGTCCTATCTAGTGATGTGGAAAGAACCTGTTTCATAAAGTTGATGATGTAATCACAAACATATTCTGTGATCCGGCATTCATCTGTCCGGAAACTGAATGTGATATATTCGTAGCACAGCTACAGAGTTACCGTTTGCATGACCCTACATGCAATGCATTTCTGCTTTTTCAGTATACGTAAAGTCTCCCATCACTGACAACAGCACAATCATGAACTGTATCTTCCCCTACTAAGATTCACACTTACTTGTCCTCTACCGGCAATGGTGTTTTTTCATGCAAATCTCCAATATGAAAATGTGTTTCATGAATGTAGGCTGAAACAAGATCTTTTTAAATGAGTGATAAAAGGTTCTGTGGGTATAGTTCTTCATACAAAGCAATTCATGCGAAATGTAATGTGATCTCAATTAATTTTAATGTTTTCTTATTGCAAATGCATTTAAAGTTGTATTTAGGACTAAATAAATGGATTGAGAACTGGGTTTTCTGCGTGATTATTATTCATATCTTTGTTCTTTACCCCCCCTCCAAGTTTGTACCATGAATTTGGAATCATCCTATATATTACATTATAAAGGTAGTTTTATAGTCATAAATAAAGCAATTCTGAACATCCTCAAATGCAGAGCCAGATTTAGACTTGATAAGGCCCTAAGCTATTTGAGATATGGGGCTCTTCTGTTATAATATATTTTTTAATACTATTTATACTGTACTTTATAATTTTTTGGAGGCCCTCAAGAAAGTGGGGACCCTAAGCTATAGCTTGTGTAGCTTATATGTAAATCCGGCCCTGCTCAAATGACAGCAAGAACAATGCAAAAAATGTTTCCATAGAACTTAATTTTAACTATGTAAACTCACCACTATATCCTTCAAGACATTCACACACATAGCCTTGTGGTGAACCATCGTCTTCAACACATGTGCCATCATTTAAACATGGATTCTTTTCACATGGGGTCTTGCCACCACAATCTTCAACATTCGCTGCATCGATGGCAGAATTTACAAGGTCAATTTCAACTCCATTCACCTCAACCTATATTAAAAACAAAATTCACTAAAAACTTCATTCACTTCAATATGTGCTTAAGACTGCAAAAATGATATAATAAATAGTTCTGAATAAATTCTGAGCAGTTTGAAATCTCTTTTCAAAATTTACTGGGGTAAAAGTAATGGAACACTTAAGAACAATAAAAGGATGAAGAAAAAACATTTTTGGTGTATGTATCCATACACCAAAAAATTCAAGAAAAAACATTTTTGGTGTATGTATCCATACACCAAAAAATTCACGAATACTGTGCTTTAGCCTACATTATTACTCTTTCATTAGAACCAAATCTATGGATATTTATAAGAAGATGTAATTGGATACAGTACTGATTGCTCAACTTGAAATCAATTTTAATCTACGCAGCAGTATTTTGTTTCCATCACACATTTATAATTGATACATTACTTTGTAATTATTAAGTGAGCATTCATGATACAACTTGTAACTATTATTACATAAAATTTTTTTAATTTCTTTTTGAAGAAAAATAAGATTATATTTTGTAAAGCGAGTTTAAACAATGAGTCATGTGAGTATTACTTAACATTTTATACATCATTTGTCATATTATTTGATACAGTTTAATAATTTAGAAAATTAACAAAGCTTGCAAATATTAAAATAAATGTTGTTTCTTTTTACATATGAGCTAACAGTGCTTTTGTTTTTGCCTAAAAAAATATGTGTCATAATAATTACCAGACATTAAATCATAATGTGCAATTATTTTAAATTAACCAAAATGAGCTATTCTTCATTCTTAAGTACGCCAGGGTTGCCACTCAAACAGGAGAATGAAATTCCCTGACTTTTCCAGGTTTTCCAGGTGTGTTTCAAGAAAATTCCAGTCTATCCGCGTAATGCATGTTGGCTGTGCCAAGAGGTAAATTAATTATGGCATTACTTGTGTTGTGTAGCAAATTCACTTAATTATTCACTAAATCCCAGGGGACATTTATTCTTACTTATTCTTGGTATACTTTGTTTGATAATTTTGTTTAGTTCCACTTAAGAAACTTAATAAATTTAAGATATATATATTGGATAACAAATGTATGTTTTATTTATTATTACTCATGATCATCACCAGTTTAACACGAGCTAATCTGGTCCTTATAAATCACAATGCAATGCTAATAGTTAAGTTGATTTAGGTAAATTTAATTTCGTGAGGTATGTTCTTAAAAGGCACCTTAACACTTGAAAACACAAATATAATTATTAGTTGTTGTTTTCCACTGAAGATTGAGATTAGAATCTTCCCATCTGAATAAAATAAGGCTTTTTTGCAGACATTCTGCAGCTAAACAAAGAAAGAAATCTATTTTAATAAATTGAGGTATTTTATATTTATTTTGCAGCATACATAAGGAAAAAATATGTGCATTAAATTTCGTGATGGCTGTCATCATACTGCTATAATTAATTTCAGGATTGCCAGAGAAAATTTCATGAAATTTGGAAATTTATTTACTAATGATAAATAAATTAGAGGGAAGAAGCAAAATTAAATTATATGAATAACATAAAATAATTACTTAAAAAAATTGAATTAGAATAATCACGATATTTTAGGGAATATAGTTATATTACATGGCTAGCCTAGACTGATTACTATTTTTTTATTTTACTGCAAAGTGGCAAGGTATTTATTAAAAAGAAAAAAAAAAAAAAAAAAAGGTTTAAAAGATTTTGCGGTAAATTCTAGTATACGGTAAGCTTTGGCACGATTTTTTTTAAAATTGTCGCCAAGCCAAAATGACCCTTTTACTGCGCATCAGATGTCGCCAAATCCCATTATATCTAACCAAAGAACGTCTATGTAAGAAGAAAGGTTCCATACAAGTAAAATGCATTAAGCCGCTAGATGCGAGGGAAAATTGCAAGGGATTTGGCGACGGAACCTGGCGGCCAGAATTTCCCTCCTCCGCGATTGTGTCAGGAAATTGAACACGTGTTAAAAAGAACGCTTTTTCGGACAAAAAGACAAAAAACGCCAATCGTTTTTAAAATTGCGAAAAAATCCAAAAGAAACGTTTATTCAAAGGACGTTCTTCTTGGATTTCGCAATAATTTTAAAAATGATTTTCGTAGTTTTCTTTCCCCTGAAAATAACTAATCCATGAATTAATTACTTGCGCCAAAAAATATTTTCTTTTCCTTTAGAGTTTAACCACTTGCGCTAAGACTAAATTCACGGTTGCGGTACCGTGCGCTACAATATAACAAGCCGTAAAAGTGTCTCATTTACGCCGCTCTCCCATCTGCGAGTGCAACCAGAGCTGTAACTCGAGAAATAAACAATCTCGTTGTTAGGCGTCGTGGCACCACGTATTTTCATTTTTTGTGATAAATGCTATCGACGTGGTGTTCACGTCGCTCGCGGTTTGAGACAAAAGCATCTTGACGCGTGGCACGTCTTTTTAAGCGCAAGTGGTTAAAGAATTTTAACGATATTCATTTATGAACTCTGATACGTGACCCTTCGAACTTCGACACCGGTTTCGAGCTTTGGGCAACAGATATATCCAGACACACAGCTGTTTTCCCTCTATGATGGAACGGAGCCACAGCCACGTCTGTTGCAGAGAGGTTTTCCTTCTTTACAATACATATTCTTTGATTCTAACTCCATGGTACCGTATACTAGGATTAAACCATTTTGTTTTATACGAAACAGGTACTTTCTTTAGTCATGCATGCACATGCGATTTCGAGAATATGGAAACCAAGTGCGGGAAATTGCTTTGCCTTCTAAAAGACAACCAATTGGAGTTGCGAAATTGGCTCTATGCCACCAAGGTTCTTTACTAAGGTTAGGCCAGAACGGAAAAAGCGTCCATTGGTTGCTGGTAGTGATGTCACCCGGGAGACAAGACGCATCGGCCGACGCTCTGCTACATGATTTGGTAATGGAAAAAATGTAAACTAAAGCAAATGATCATTTTATATTGGTAGATACACCGGAAATACCGGGTATATACTTTCCGATTAAGTATTTTGTTAAAGAAAATGTTTATTTTATGCACAGAATTCGTACGAATGCTGAAAAAAATTGTAAACACTTTAAGGAAAGCATTAGAAAATGAAAAAACGATATTAAGTTAAAAAGGGAAATAATATTGCAAAACAAGGTATTTTTAATATTTTTCGTAGTATTGTTTGCACTAAATAAATCTGTTGAACAGAACACATTGGGCTAAGTGCTAAGATGTAAAACATAATCAAAAAGTATTATTCTGTTATTTTTCATTGCTCATGCACTTTTTTTAATAAAATGAACTTTGACATTCCATGAGAAAATATGATCGTGATTTTCAGTTTAAATTACATTCTCAAGCAAAATATACATAAAAGATTTGACTTAACAATTCATATTTAAATACCATAAAATTCTACAAATTTCTTGATATCCGTCATTATACTTTTAAATAGTATACTTATCACATTCTTTTTAAAGTGAAAAGTCACTTCTTACTCTTATATCCTTTACACTCCAGATTTAATTAACATTATCCTGACGTGATTATTGCTTTAGTAAATAATCTTCGATATGGCATCCTATTCTTCTTCCATACATTAAAAAATGGAACAATAAAAATACATTTCTTTACATATACGCACAATAATAAAATAATAAATTGCCCTACATCTTAGTTTTGGCCCACCAGCGGCCGAGCGGTAAAGTCGCTGAACACTGGTAGTTCGGTCCGAATCCCGCGAACGGGCTGGCTGCATGGCCGTTTTCGTGGTTTTCCTCATGTGTAACGTGTATACGACCAGTTTCCTGAGAAAGTCCTCCCAAAGGCATAACACATTACAAGATAGCCCTAGTGTTTTGCCATAATTAAATACCCACCACATCTTAATTTCAATTCAACTTGTATTCAAATTAAATATTTTTAATTAGTAAAGTAGTTTTAACAAGTTCTTTCTTAAAATTATTTTGTTATACTCAATATAGTGTTCAGTATTTAATTATTTGTCTTTCTCTTATGATTAAAACCAAATTATATGGAATCAAAATTAAAACATATGCAACAGTTAAATGACACTGAAGAGAATATCTTACTTAATCTATCGCTGTTTATATCCCAGCACAATACACAGATTTGTTTTCCTTCAGGTTCAAGCATGTGTAAGTTATATCAATTAAATTACATCACACACATACCTGTATGCATCAGTTAAATAACACTGAAAGAATATGGTCACTCACTCATTCGATGTTTGCATCATAGCGAGGTCGAGAAATTGTTCTTTCCTCACGTGATTGATGTACAGTTTACTTAGTTCGCAAAGCTAACCCCCGCTGCTTCAATACATAGAATTCCGTTTGGGATGTAAAGAAAGTAACCAAAAATGTGAATGAAGTTGGATACGCGAATTTATTAAAAATCATTCAGGTACTCAGTATCGGTAAACATGACATGAGTTTAAATATCTCCACGATGTAAGTCTCATACACAAAATGAAGATTTATAAAAAATGATTTAAAATGAGAAATTTTTCAATTTAAATGTAAAATACCAGTAAAATGAAAATAAATGTAAATTACATCACAGTTATGTATGAAAAACTACATAAATTCATTAAAAAATAGTTATTTATCTGGTGTAAGAGTGTTTCCGCCAAAAAACGTATTAAGTGTTATAATCTGACACAACACTATAGCACAATTTGCCACTTCCGCCTAGGTATAATAGCAAATTAACAACACAAATCAAATCAAACTGTTGATGCAACGAAAGTAAACAAACGCCAAGAACTAACGATGTCACCCACATGACGTCATGCGTATGTGGCATAACTTTCTCCCTGCACTGCGCATCGCTCTTGGGCCCCCCCTGTATGCCAGCTACCCGAATGACACTCACGTGATACATAATTCGCCAAAAAAGTTACCTCTTCCGACGTCGGCGCAAAAATCGCTTTTTTTGCGGATCGTTGTATGAACTTCCCGAATTTTCAAGATTTTGACAAAAATACTTAAATTCCCTGACTTTTCCCTGAATATTTTGGTCAATTTTCGAATTCCCTGACTTTTCCCGGTTCTCCAGGTTTTCCAGGTAGCGTGGCAACCCTGGTATGCTCTACTATTCATAATTTATGCACTTATAAATAGTTGATGAGAAGAATGAGAAATTAATTTCTTATTCAAACACTGGTGTCCAGTAGTTGATTTTGATCTGAGTACCACTTTGACTCACATCTTCTCTTGTGATGAAAAGTTGTATTCATTTGAAAGCTCACTGCACAGTTCTCTTGAAGAGAGTACATTTGTTTCGTTTCATGTTAAGGCTTAAGAACGGTATGCAGCCCTCATTCCAGTCATAACAAATCAGTCAATCCAACTTTCACACAAGTTGGTTCAAATTCGTATAAATTTTCTTTAAAAAAAAAAAAAAAAAAAACTAAAAAAATGGAGATAATATATCTCTACCTTTTATTATTATTTTAATCACTCTTTTGATAATTCTACTAAAATTATCTTGGGAGATAATATAATAATATAATTCAATATTTCTTTAGTAAATAAATTATTATTAACTTACTTTGCAGCTATTGTACAAGTAGTAAAATCACTCGATTTAGCACTAAGTGAATTTACGATCATACAACATTTGATATGCTAAATAGCAGCTATTAGTGCTATTTATCTCTTACTTAATGAACTCACTATACATATTATCTCCACCTTTTATTATTGTTATTTTAATTCACTCATTTTAGATTTCAACTAAAATTATTTCACTAAAAATTAAATTCATTTCTACTAAAATTAAATTCATTTCTACTAAAATTAATCTTAGAAGATAATATAATTCAATATTTCTTTAGTAAATAAATTATTATTAACTTACTTTGCAGCTATTGTGCAAGTAATAGAATCACTCGATTTAGCACAAAGTGAATTTACGATCATACATGCATTATATATAATAATAATTTATTTCTAATATATATTTCATCATTATTATTTAAAAAATGGATAAATTGAAATCCCTCCCTACTTGATCCATTTTTTACATCTATTGGGAAAATACAAAAATATACAGATTATGCTGTGGTAAAATAACTATAATATAATAGTAAAATATATATTTTCAATTTTTTATGAGTAGGAAAATGCCTAAATAAGAATTCATATTATAATTGTCATCAAAATCAGTTCTTATTTTTCAACTAAAAGATATTTCTGATTATTGTCTTTTGCATATGCATAAAATACTTTATTCATTTTATTATTGTTAAAGATATCTTGATCGAGTTAAATTGAATTCCTATTTTATTTTAATATCAACAGTAATACCAATTTAGTACAGTTCATTTTCACATGAAACATTTCTTTCATTATAAATAAAATTTACTTACATGAGCAATACATCCATCAAAACCATGCTGAACCTCAGCAAAAGGAGATACAGATACACGGTGTTTATCGACTGATCCAACATAGAATGGAGTATGAAGATTCAATCCTCTTGCAACACCAGGAGACATACCTTTCGATGCTATACCATCATTTACAATAAGAGAGCCCTCTCTCATATCACGTTCGGCTACAATACTTAACCATTCATCAGCAAGAATAGGTTCTGGACTACGAATTATTGCAGGACCTATACGAGATTACATATAGCCATATATACAAGAAATCATGAGCATATATACATGTAAATAGCTAATCAAAATGATTTAATTACAAAAATTATGGCAAAAAGAAATTGAAAAAACATTTTAAAATTTATCTTTGACAGAAACTGAACTAACATTACATAAACTTGAAGTAAAACCACTAGCTACACTTCACTAGCAATTTTAGAATAACATAACAGACCGGTATTAGCTTTTACATTTCTAATGCAAAGTCTCAATTAAATGTCAACAAACATGAGTAAAATACGAAGAGATTCAAAAGCATCCGGCAAACATGTAAAAGTAGATAGAGGGGACTCAAATAAGCAGGTTTTGAATAGAATGTGTATGCGGAAATGGCTCACTGAAGTTGTACAGGTCATCACTATGCAGTAGATAAAAGCATTCTGCTAGTATAAATCATCATTCGCCATGCAGATTTTGAGAGATGTGCATTGCTACAAGAATACAAAGCTTACCAACATGCATTCAATCTGTGGAACTGCAAAGAGAAAAAGAGCAACTGCTCGAAGGAGGCACCATGGAATAGTTTTCTGTGCCTACTTAGAGTAACTGCTCTATTCTAGCCACAGCCTCATAAATCAAATACCCAGCAGCAAGCTCCACGTTCATGTAACAATGCATGCATCTCAAAATTTGTACTTCAAAGGACAATTTATGTCAGTAGCATGTCTTTACTTGCTGTTCAGTAGTGCCATGTACCAACCATATATGTCATTTGTGCACACACACTACATTAGAAAATCTGCTTATTTCAGGCCTTGCTACCTGCCTTTATATTTTTATCCCATATTTGTTTTACAAATAATTAAACAACATAGTTTTATAATTCCAAAAACTTAATTTATGAAATATACATATAAAATTACACATTTAAAAACCATAATTTGAGTAAGTTTTTTATGCTTTTATTAAAGTTACAGCACTGTTTCACATTATCAAAATCTCTGCAGTAAATAACATTTAATCTTAAACAATTTACTTTGAAGCAGTTTGTAATGGGTAATCTTAAAATTAGCTTGGTTAGCAATTATTTAGAAGTTCTAATGTGGTTTTAAAAAAATTCTTGTATACTTTTCATGTAGCAAAATTTAAAATGTCCCAAATATATATTTACAATAAAGAGTAATATAGAGAAACTCCTTATGATGATCAACATAGCTTCAAAGATTTTAGTCTTCTATGAAGAGAGCCATCTTACGGAAGTACAACTGTCGGTTACATTCAATATTGTTATCTAATTATGTTTTCAGAAATAATGGTTACTTTAGAATACTTTCATTGAGAGGTGATTACCATCAGAAGTTACACCGTATATTATTTTGCAGTGGAAAAACAAATACTAATCAAATATTAACAGAAAAAATTAACTGTTATGCAAGATCCAAAAATTAATTAAGTTAAACAATTGTTATTTAAAACTTTTTTTCAAACTTGAAACACTGATAATATCGTCTTTCAAAATTGTTTAAATTGATTATTTTTTGCATTAATAATAACATTTATTTATATTGAAATAATAAGCTTTTAAATATTGTGTTTATATACACAGCTGCAAACACCGAAATGTTAAAAACCAAGCGATTCTTGGACAAAAAAATGGGAGTTTATATGCTGTACGGAGGCAAAATTCAAATATATATATATATATATGCCAACCTTGATATATATGTGTGTGTACATATATACATATATATAAAGGAGGTTTTCATTTGAAAACTGAGAGTTCTTGGGAAACTTTTGCAATGCATGGCACAACAATTTCAAAAGAAATTCAAATTGACTTAAATTCTCTTTAATGCACAACTCAAGTTATTCAACTATTTATAATATGAGTCTGACGTAAAATATTTTAAAGTTCTTTAGATAATTTCACTTTGTAATTTTCTTACACTTTTCTATTTGAAAATCTTGAGTAGGGAAAGAAAGCTTTAATTTATCAAAGTATCTTTAAACACAAAAATAAAATTAATAATTAACGTACATACTATTTATTGTGTAGATAAACTTATTAATGTACCATATATAAAGGCTAAACTAAATTACTGAGTAAACCTTGAATTATCACGTAAAGTTCTATAAATGTCCACAGTAGATTAAGTCAATACAGAATGAATAAAATTTAACACAAAACATATGCTGAAAACAACCAGAGATAAGGAAATGAAAATTACATAGTTTAAGTATCATTAAATTAATAAATATATGCTGAAAACACTCATTAGTAAAGGTTAAATATTAAAAACCAGGTGATTCAATGATCTACAGAGAAAGTTGGCAGCTACTTAATTTTTTTAAAAAATTAGTTTTGAAAAGCAGTACCTGATCCCATATCAAATCTAAATTCTACACTCTTATTTTTTATAGCTATAGAAGTAAAATCTCCAGATCCATCTTCTGATTGAGCACAATAAGCTATTAAGCAATCATCTGTATTGTGTGGCTTGACTTTCATATTCATTTTCAAAGTCCTCAAAGCTTTTGGTGTAGGATAAGCAATGTAAGCATCATCAGAGAAAGCAGGTTCAACAATAATTATATCTAAAAGAAATTTAAATCATGATTTATGAATCATCACAGTCAAAATGTTAACTGTTTAGGATACATTTATAAAAATTCCTTTATAACATAAAATCTAATTTACAGTTCCTTTCAAAATTACATGAAAAAATTCACAAATTTTCTTCTAACCTCAGATTCAATAAAAATGAAATACCAATACATCCCACGTAAAAAATAATGGATGCCTGCTGAATATCAGAGAAAAATTCAGTGAAGTCAGTAGACAGATTACAGGTAAGCACTGAACAAAAGAAATGCTCCAGTTCATGTAAATTTGAATGTTTGAATCTGTCTCTCTATATATAGTATATGAATATACCTATATAGTATATATATAGTATATATATATAATAGTATACCTATATAGTATATATAATATATATATCTATATAGTATATGAATAAATACAAAGGTAGTTCAAAGCCTAATACAGCTTTAGAAATACCAACATTTACTCTAATACTTTTACTTCACATCATCAAACTTTCATCACAAACTTTATTTCTTTATTCATTATTTAACTTAACATTGACTATTTGATGCAATATGAGTACTTAGAAATTATTTTTAAAAGCATACAAAAAATATATAATTTTTTTTCTTTCATAATTTAGTAGTTAAGTACACAGGGCAACTTAAGCGAAAATTCTAGGTGAATATCATTCAAATTCAGAAAGATATTGATGACATAGTGAAAGAAAGTATTTTTCAGTTACTTTCTGGGATAAGAGATTTTTCACATTTTGTAATTTTCTAAGTTTAAAGTTTGTTCATTTTGAATGCACCTTGAATTGACTCTCACATAGCATTTAACATAGTTTTTGCTTATTTGCATAACACTGGACTACAGTGAAGGGGTATCCAGTAAATTATAACATCTACAGTTTTAAAAAAGGCTTTTATAGTTATGAAGATCTGGACAAAACTCTTAAAATAAATTTCTGGTACACTGGTAGATTAATAAGAAAATGAATTATTATATTTATTTGAAAATTTTTACTTTTAATTTTGCAATACTTCCACAACAATTTAACTTTTGATTTGCATCCCTCTTTAACTGTATTTATCTGTCTCTGCACAGAAAGTAGTAAAATGGGATTGCAAACTAAAAAAAAAAGGGGGGAGGGGCAGAGAGGAAAAAAAAATGGTCAGAAGAATAGTGTGGTAAGTAGAATGTGTTTCTTTTAGAAGAAACCCTATCCTAATTCAAAATGATCCATAGAATCATACTTCAGTTCTGTTTCAATTTTGGCTTCTAGTGATCATTTTTAGCACATGCTGTGCAACTCTTTTATTTCTTCTCAGTCAGTGTCACAAACTCGGATTATATGTGAGCTGAATGCATGATCCATAAACAGTTGATGAGCCCGATTTTAAGCAAAAAAAAATTTTTTAATTAATTAAAATAAGTTTTTCTTACTAAAATATACATAAACAATAATAATAACGCAAAGGGAAAAAACCAAATTTATATTTATTTTCTATCTGAAATCTGAAGTTAGTTACCTAACAGACATTTTTGTTAGTTACACTTTATAATTCAAACATAATGGCAGCTAAATATTAATATTTCAGACTGACGTTTATTTCAAATAATTCTAATATATTTAATTATTCATTAAATAAATTATGAAAACTTTTATAATGAGACAAAACTTGAAAATATATGATGACATATTTTAGTCTAGTCTTTTCCCCTTATTCATTAAAACTTCTTTTGTCACATAAATAAAAATACCTATATTTGTATGTAAATACAATTTTTTTTCTATAATGTCTGTACACTGGAGAATAACTACAAGAAATTATCTTCATGGATTGTAGATGCTCATGAATAAATCAGGTCTTTTCTTATTAATTTTCATTCCAAAGCTTTTTTTCACCGTTGAAAATTAATGGAACATATATATGGAAATATATATATATATATGGAGATATATATATGTATAATTTATTTACTAAAGAAATATTGATTATATTATCTCCTAATATTAATTTTAGTAGAAATATGTAAAAAAGTGAATACATAGGGAGGAAGCTTAATTTTGAAAATTCTTTTAAAGTAACTTGAATGTAAATTGTTAACAATGTTTTATGGGGACTTGAAGTAAATCATTAACAACAAAATTTCAAACTTTGAAAAAAATTAAATTAAAAGCAAGTAATTATTTGCTATTGATCGGACTGTTATCTTACTTTGCAGCTATTGCGCAAGTATTAGAATAATTTGTTTTTGAACTAAGTGAATTTAAGATCATACAACATTTGATATATATATACAGTCAAAAGCTTTAATCCGGACTGATCTCATAATCCGGAATGATGTATAATCTGGACCTCAAAGCTGCAAACTTTCTGCGCATGTGTCAACGCATAATGCCTCTATGCATACACATATGCGTTTATGCATGCGCATAATACATTTACGCATGCATGTTTAATGTATAACGGACGGTATAAGCTAAGGTAAGCTAATCTAATTATCTATTTCAGTTTTTGTTGCAGATTGCATTGTTCCTTAATTTTCTAATTGGATCCGGCTTATTATTTTTTGCAGACTGTTAGAGCAATTTTATAAAGTAAGCTTGAACTTTCGATTATGTCAAAAAGAATTCCCGATTCTGGAGCTACCAAAGGATCTACAAAGTGAAAGCATGTTTCAATGTCCATCAAACAAAAAGGGGAATTGCAGCAAAAAATGGATAAAGGCATATCCTTTGATTCTCTAACCATTCTGAAATATGTTTATCAATTTCACGCTGCTCTGCGACCAGGAAGGGGGGGACATGGCGCACTATGAGTTGATCTGTAAGCACTATCCTTATCTTCAAAGCAGATGTTTTAATTTTATTCGGCTTATAATTCCTTACTAAATGTAGTATTTTATCTCGATGTACTCCACCTTTGGTATGATTAAATCAAATTTCTTGTCATTATAAATATGACGAATACACATCAAATAGTTTTCTGGTTGCAATTTTATAATTTCGACTATGCGTAATGTATGCTTTTACACATGCGTACGTTGAAAGAAATGTTTAATAAAGTAAACAAATAAATATTAAGCTTTTTTTTAAAATTTTGATACCCTTTAGATCATAATTGCTCTTTATATCATAAATTACGGTTTCATGTTTTTAATTTTATAATTTTTGCATTCCATCTTACCAGATTTAAACTGATGGTCTATAATCCGGAAAAACCGATAATCTGGAATCGCCGAAGTCCCGACGAGTCCGGATTAAAGACTTTGACTAAGATATATAGTATTCATATATATGAATACACTGCCAAACAAAGCAAACGTTCTTTGTGCATAAATTTGTAAACTGATCATACTTATTTTTATGACAATGAATAAAAGTTAATCAAATCTGTACCTTCAAATCTTTTAGTAAGATTTACACTGCATTGTAAATTAATTTGCTCAATTTATAGATATTTTAGTGACTTTTCCCATTAGTTTTCAATAGTAATGAAAACAATGTGAAATAAGACTTCAGATAATTAACGCTTGGTACTCGGGGCCTTTTCGCATGGCGCACCAGCAACTCGAGACATCTCGCAGCCTTTTTGATGTATTTCTTACCAGTAACTTAAAACCATTACACACACAAATTAATGTACAAAATTTTTATATTTTAACATTTTATATATCTTTACACCTTTATAAACATAATTTCTTAAATATTAGTGTCCGTAATTTTTCTGTGTATGATGTTTCATGTAGCAATTCCCAAAATGCATACCCGGCTTGTCAAGGCAAGTATTCCAATAATATGTCGTTTAATGCCTTTTTCTGGGCTTATTTCTCTGAGAACCGACTTTGTGATAGATAAGAAAAGATAAGGTTTCAGATAAGAAAAATCTTACCTCCATTTGAAGGGTATCATTTTACACTTCATACGATTATATAGAAAGAGCATAGGAACCCGCTTTGAAGAAATGTAAACAGTTATTGCCACGCATCGAGTTTCCGCATCAAACCAAGTGGTGAGTGAGTGTCACCTTTCGAGTTGCGGCATCAAATCACATGGTGAGTGAGAGTCACCTCTCGAGTGCAAAGGGTTAAAATCTTGAAATTTTTGCAATGCTGTATTTGCAACAAATATATAAGTGAAATGTATTTGCAGGCTACATAAATTGCTTCAGATGCTGTATGTGTCCCACAAGCCACCAGTTTGTGATCGCTGTGCTAAATAATTATTACTATTAAAGATGGAGATAAGAGAACAACTAGAGAATTTTGTCTTTATTGTATTTGGGTATTTAATTGATAACTTAATGTGCTATTTCTATATTTTTTTACCATAAATATGCCTTTTCTTTTACGACCATCTTAAGAAAACAGTATAATTTTTTAGATTTACCTTTCTCACAGCGTACTCCTGTTCTACCAAGAGGACAGTAACAATCAAAACCTCCACCAGGTCTATTGATACAGCGGCCTTCACCACAAACTCCAGGATAACAAGCTTCACCAACTCTTTCACAGTCACGCCCAGAGAAACCAGGTGGACAAATACAATTATAACCTACAATAGTCAGTGCTTCTTGGCATACCCCGCCATGTAGACAAGGATTTGCAGAACATGTTTCACAAGTAGATATACCATAAGCTTCAGCTTCTCTCAATAAATTATGGACAACTTTTCCTGTTTTATAGTGGCTGATACAGCCTAAAATACAAAAAGAGATTTAGTCAATATTTTAAAATTATAATAAACAGCGATAGTAAAAAGAAAAAAAATTAAAATATGCCTACCAATAAATCCTCGAGTAGCACCAGCATTTTGTTCGATAGCACCAAAATCAGGAACAGATCCTATGTACATTGGTTCCACTAAATCTAACCCTAAGAATCTTCCTTGTGCAGATCCAGTTACTTCAGGTTGATCATCTACATTCAAAACTCCTAAAGAAAGAAGCTTTTGTTATGGGATTATATTTGTAATTAAGGAATTTGAATTTACATTTTTTAAAAAAAAATTCAGAAATGTTTTAACTGGATTTTTCTAAAGTTGGTCCTTTTATTTATTATTTTTGTTTTACTTACTTTATTTTTATTTTTATTTTTTTTTATTTTACTTCTACTTTTTATTTTGCTCATAAAAACTAATGGATTGAATCAGTACTACTTATTTGCTATACGAATTCATTATTAAAACTTTTTATTTTTCTCATATGTGCTTAATTAACATGACATTAAATAAATACTTAGTCTCTTTTTTAATAACTAACACCAAAAACGAATAAAAAAATAAGTTGCAAACATATGAAGATAAAAAAAAAAAAAAAAGGAATCATCTGTATTTTTAAAATAACATCAGCTGATATATTCTTTCAATATCCATTCAACATCCAGCTCATTTGCCTGGAATTAAATCCAGGTTGAACTACCAGTGTTTAGTCAAATTTCTGCTCAGCCACTGGTTCCCACAGACTCTTGGAATGGGGCGAGATGGGAGTTTTTCTCTGTCTGCCATTTCATTCCTTAGCTCTTTAATCTCTTAATTCCTGTCTCCATTTCACATCACAAGCTTATATCTACATTTATTAGTGAATTGTTTTTTACATGAATTTCAACTCATGATTATTAAAACTTCTTCCTTAGCTTCTTTTTTTAAATGTACTTCTCAAACTTAATTAAGATATTTATACAATTACCTACTAATTTTAAAATCATAAACAATAGTAGCAAAAACATCTACAGCTTATGATAATTAAATAAATGTAATAACATTATCATTTCCACAAATTAGACTTCCACATACAGAAAACATAGCTTACTTTTATTGAATAGCAGGACACTGTTTTTCATTTGCATCTTCTCTCTTTTCAATGCTAAATGTGATTAGTGTAGAGTAATATTTTGTGAATGGCTATTTTAGATACTTACTGAAGTGAAGAATGAAATATTTAATTAGTGTAATGATACATTTTTTGAATTTTGCAATTTAATGACTCAAAGAGAAAAAAAGTTCTTTTCCCTAAACAAATACTATGATTTTGTTTAAAACTCTTAATAATGAATTAGGATGTTAAGAATTTCTTTTGATCTGTTTGAGCTTAAAGCAATAAAATCTTTAAATCTTAGTTTTTGAAAAATTAGCAGATTTTTATAGAAAGTGAACTGAAAGACTCAGTACTAACTGAAGGACTTATTACTCAGAATTTTCCTTACATATAATATGAAAATGAATCAATTTTCAGTAACGAAATTTCTGTGAGACAACCCTCCGGCTAGGCTTAAAGCTTAATGTGTGCCCTGGAATTAATCAAATCCCAGCCCAATCAAAAATATAATTTAATTAAATTTCAGTTTTATATCAAATATAGAATGATATTCGCATTCATCTTCTCAATTATTATTGAATTATTTCTTTATTATATCAGCTTAAATAGCCAAGATTTTTTGCTGATTTTGATGGAGCTTTATGTGCTTATTTTATTTTTTTTTAATCCAACCCCCCCCCACAATATGGCAACAACATTTTCTAATTATGGGTAAAAGCAGGTATGGTTGAAAGCCCAAACACCACTCAAGATCCTCAAATATGTATAACAAACTTTTTCTGTTCAGGCTATGATAAGTAATATATAGAACAAGGGTCGCCAAAACTTTAATTGTGAGCTACCAATAAGTCACTGCAGCATTTTTGGTAGCTCATGTAAAAATATTTTCCTGTTAAGATAATATTAAAAAACAATATAATAAATTAAGGTCATGATTCATTCGATACAAGATAAATAATGCTGTAACAATAAACTGACTTAAAATTGAAACTATTCCATTGTACAGAGAATTAATTATACATAAAAATTCATCAGAAGTAGAAGTTCAACCTCAGTAGAAAGTTTCATCTCTGACATTTTCCAAGCATTCATTATTATTAATATCATGCATAAATTGCTAATAAATGAGTTAGACAAATGTTGTATGATGCTACTTTATTTCATAAAGTCATACAAATGCTTTATATAGGCATGGAGCTTAAAATTTTAAATTTAAATAATAATTTAAACTTTTAGAATATTGCACATGTTCAGCCATAACCATATTAATGCATAATAATACGATATAGAATAGTGATATTTACCCTGTATTGTTATATAGATTATTCTATTCAATGAAGTTGTAAGAAAACCAAGCAGATATTCTGGAATGCAAGAACTAGGAAGGAAGCGGGTACTCTCAGAGGGATGTCTCCTACATTGGGGGGGAGGGGAGGTTAGAAGTAATTTGGGCGAAGGAGTGCTAAAGGGAGAAAGATTCACCAGAAGGAGGCTGATGGGGGGCACACATGGCTTACTGGTGAACGGGAAAGGAGTATGGCCAGGGGAAATTTTAAAACAAATGTATAGGTGAGAAAACAAAGAAAAGTGCACCACTTTCTGAATACGAACCCCGTTGACATAATTCTAGGAGTCAAGTAAGAGGTAACAGGGACAAAAAATGTTTCCCAATCTTTATTCAAAAGTCTGAGGTGTAAACTGAGAACAAAAGAAAGGTTCTGTGTAAGTGAAAATTTTCGTCTTCCTTATTTAATTACATACTCAAAGTTCCACTATAATATTTTTGAGAACTAAAAACTCACTCTCATAAATTCATTGCACTTCCCAGAGAAAAAGTGCTTTCACTTCTGAGTTTTCCATTACGTGTTTAACTTTTAAGGTATCTAAAGCATCTGACAAAAATAAAACTAGATGAGACCCTAATTCTCAGAAAGAGAAAGACTACTATTAAGCATGATTATGACATGCAAAATATGTATTTTTCTTGGACAAATTTAATAAAAAGCTCACCAATGCACATAAAGTTTGAAAACTGCAAAACATATTTACCATTCTTCCTTTCCCGTGAAATGTGAACTATATGCCATTTTCCTTGTTCAACAGGTTCACGGCTTCGTAAAATTGCAGGACCAGAGCCTAATTCAAATCTGAATTCAACATAGCCATTGTTCAGTGTCAAAGAAATAAAATCTCCCTGGTCTCGTTTCTGACCATTGTACAACAAAAGACCTATATAAAAACATTAAAAATAAATTCATTAAAAACAAATTTGCATGGCATGGAAAACACAAATTTGTTAATTATAATGCCATTATTATTTAATCAAAATTCAATAAAATTTCATCAAAGATTTTATTTGATAGAAAATACAAGGTCTCACCTTAAAATTATTTTAATTAATTGTATTCAAGAGTAGTTATTATTATTATTATTATATTTATATTATTATCTTTTTTTTTTTTTTTTTTTTTTTTTTTACGATTCTCAAGTTTTAGAAAAATTCTAGCAGCATTTAGCATTCTATAATTCTTTTTCATAACCTGTATTATTATAACTAAGCTAATAGCTTCAGAGCTGAAAAATGGAATCGAAATTTCATATCCTAATATACATCAAACTTCAACAGTAAATATTATTGTAGAAAAGTATTTATAAGTCAACTGCAGATTATGAGCAGCAATTAAAATTATCTATAATCAAGATGCTCAACAAAGCAGAAACATAATATCTGTGAGACTGTGTTTGCTAAAAAAATTATTAAAATTATTAATTTTTACATTAATTTATAAAACCTGTAACTGAAGCAGGTTCCAATAAAGTAAGCGTTTACTTTATTGGAATAGAGTAAACCCTTAACTAACACGGGAATTAGATCCATTGACGTGATTTTATCATTAAGCAAGGGATAAATCATTTTCCACAAGTTTAACATTCGATGGGAAAAAATGAATCAGGTATAGTTCAGATTAAGAAAATATGTATAATTTATACAAACCTAAATATTGTTGTAACTGAAAGGGAAAAATTAATAATTGAATTAGATTAATTGAAAGTATTTCTATTAATAATTAGCAGCTTCGCTGCCAGCCTCCGTCTGGCTTTTAAATGTACCGGAAAAATACCTGAAGGGAAAACCAAACGTTAAATTTAAAAGCTGCGTAGAATTTTACTCTGCAGAACAACTTCATAAAAAAAGTTATTATGTGTAACAAAATTACAATGAAATAAGCAATATCCCTTAATACAAATATTAATTATCCTAACAAATAAATTAACCAACTTCCCTTTGCAAAATCTTAAGAATTCAAATGGTATAAAGGAGGTTAAGAACTTTGTTTCCTAAAAAACATCACTCAAAACTTTTCAATATCTTAAAAACAGTGAAATGAGCAATAAATAACATAAAAGAATACAAAAAAAAAAAAAAAAAAAAAAAAAAAAAAAAAATTCTGAAAATCAAAGTATAATTAATGATATTTTATCTTATATTTTTAAGAGAAAAAAATTACAATGAAAGAAGCTACATCCCTTAATACAAATATTAATTATCCTAATAAAAAAATTAACCAACTTTCACTTGAAGAAAAAAATCATGCAAAACTTTTCAATATCTTACAAACAGTGAAATAAGCAAAAAATAACATGAAAGAAACTCAAAAAACAAAAACTTCCACGCAGAATTTTATTTTGCAGGGCAACTTTATCAAAAAAATATCAATAAAAATGTATTATACATATATAAAAAAATGACAATGAAATATGCCAATCTCTTAAAAACAGTGACATAAGAAATACAATGTTGCTAAACCATATTTCTAAAAGAATGAAATTATTCAAAATGATGCGTTTTCATCAAAAATCTAATGAGAAAGGAAAATTGCTGCCAAAACCACATTTTTAAAGATGTGAGATGTGAGAAGTGTACTCGGAAGCTTCATTTAAATTTTTTTTTAAAAATACAAAATATTATCATTTTTCCAAAATTCTTTTTGTAAAAGCAGTCGCAAGGATGAAAGTTTAACCTGTCCAAAAAATCAAGAAAAATAAACTGTACATTTTTAAAAATAAACTTTTTTAGAAAAAATCCCATTGAAAATGTGTTAAGCTCACTTTGTTAAATAAATTCGTACTTAATCGATTTATTGAAACGCGAAATTTATTTTAAGTTTGTAAAATAGCTAAGTGCCTACGTTTCATGATGATGTGAAAATGGAGTGTGTAGAGTAAAATCTCGCTTTCCTATAGCCCATTATGTCTCAAAATGACGTGATTTCATCACAAAACATAAAATAAAAAAAATTCGAATTCGAATTTCGAAAAAATCGCTTCGAGGTGCACTGGCTCTTGTCTAGATGCACCTATGTACCAAATTTCATAGCTGTGGGTCTATTAGCTTACGCGCAGCGCGAACGAAAGACACATACACAGACAGACTCTTTCTTTTATTATATGTAGAGATTAGGTCCATGATACACTTTTCTTTTTTTGTTGATTTTTGTTGGGGGCAATGTCTGAAACTCATTAAACATTTTTTGGTAAGCAATGCAAAATTCTTCAATACTTTTTAAAAAATGTCCTCTTCTTTCTTCATTTGTCTCAAAATTCATTAAAAAATCAGATGGCACTTGAGCCTTTTTTTAACAATTTGTTTAATTTCCTGTACATTAAAGGCTCTTTATCTTCTGCAATATTGCTGCTTTCACCATTGGTGAAAACAGCAATAATGCAGAAGGTATGCTGGTGTTATATGATCATCCGATTTAACGATTGTCATTACTAACTAATTCTTTAATTTCTCTTTCTTCCATACCTGAAATTTTTGAATGAATTTGTACAATTTCATGGTTCATTTTCAATTCTTTGAAATACTTTAATGCTGTTGACAACTTCTGGCCAGAGCTGATGACAGCAAACATTCATTGTTGATGAATTCACTTGTTCTTATGCGAGTTTCATCATTTCTATGCAGTGTCTTATGTTGATTAGTTTCCAAAATGCCATTAGTGTGTCATGCTTTCCTTTGTTTAGTACAGTCAAAAGTCTTTAATCCGGATTCGTCGAGACTTCGGCGAATCCAGACAATTATTGTTTTTTCCGAATTATAGATCATCAGTTTAAATCTGGTAAGATGGCATGCAATTATAAAATTAAAAACATGAAACCATAATTTATGAAATAAAGAGCAATTATGATCTAAAGGGTATCAAAATTTAAAAAAAAAGCTTAATATTTATTTGTTTTACTTTATTAAACATTTCTTTCAACGTGCGTATGCGTAAAGCATACATTACGCATAGTCGAAATTATGAAATTGCAACCAGAAAACTATTTGATGTGTATTCATGATATTTATAATGACGAGGAATTTGATTTAAATCATATCAAAGATGGAGTACATCGAGATGAAATACTACATTTAGTAAGGAATTATAAGCTAAATAAAATAAAAACATCTGTCCTGAAGATAAGGATAGTGATGACAGATCAACTTCGAGTTCATTGCACGCCGCAATGCATGAACTGGATGCGATTATGACGCATGAACTGGACGCACGTGTAAAGGCATTGTAAAGAAAATGCTTTGAATGTTTTTATGATTCCTAGATTCTTGGTTTTATTAAGGAAGTGGTGTTCAGTGAAAGGAATAAAACCTTTATAGTTGGGTGAAATGTTATAAGAGCTTCAGTACCATATACTGAAACAATTACCAAGAAGTAGGAAAACTGTATAAAACTTAGGTTTTGCTATTTTAGCTTAGGCAATCCTGTTCAGGCCACAAGCCCCACTTAAAAGTGCTGGTATTGTAAGGCCAGTGATTCTGATCACAGTAGAAAGATAGTTTACATTTGGAACGTGATAATAAAAACACCCATTTAGTGGGAACATAATGTTCAAATCGATGCGGAAATTCACACCAAGTGATATCAACAAAATTAAAATAAGAAGAAATCGTGGCAAAAGAAAATAACAAAGGAATAACCATTTTGAAATGGAGAAATAAGAAGGACATCCCAGCTCTATCGACAAAGCACTCGTCAGAAATGGTGAACGTTGAAAGCCGATCCAGAAATGAGTGCAAGCCACAAATTATAGTAGACTACAACAGACAAAAGGCAGCTGTCAACTTATACAACCAAATGAATGCCTATAGAAATCCATTACATAGGACCATAAAAATGGTATTGAAAACTAGCCTTCAAATTTTTACTAAATACTACTGTTGTTAATAGTTACATTCTATACTAAAGATATTACGAAGCAGAAAATTAGCACTACTGAATTCCAGAAAGAATTAGTGCTATCCCTTACAAGTTGTGAAAAAGAAAACATTCCATCGAACAGAAATGCAAGAATATCTAAAAAATAACAACATAAACTCCAAAGAAAACTGGGAAAAGCCTCTGAAGTATGGAAATATAGTAAATTATGTTATGATAAAAAATGCAACAGAAGCTGGTAGAGTAATGGCCAGAAAAGAGACTAAAAGTGTTGCCACATTTTGTAATAGCTGTAATGAAGAACCGTTTTTATGTTTATCGTGTTTCAATGAAATCCATTAGTCCTGTAGTGAATTAAAATTAAGTAAATTTTAAATAAATTTTCTGCAATTCCATAAAACAGGGTAAATTTTATAGTTATATATCATGTTACACGCCGTCAGCCAGCAGCGGTCGATGTGGCCTTAACGGGAAGTCTAGTGTCAGTCGCAGATTGCTGACGCAGCCTAAACGGAAAGTCTAGTGTCAGCCACAGAAGACTGATGTGGTGCTCAACATGTTAAGCAATGTTTGACTTCTTTAACCTTCTAAAACCGGGCTTAAATTTTCATAACATAACCTTTAGGATAGCACGATCCAAAACACTTTTCCCCCCTCCTTTACTGTTCCCTAACGAGAAAAGTCGTTAGGCTGGTCATTTGTCCCCTCCATTGATGAAGTAAAATTTACATGTTTGTCGGACTCTGGACAATAGTCTAGAAAACTCATATCTCAGGTTATTGCGACTTTTTTTAGGTTTATTTTGATTTAGTTTAAAGTCTATAACATTTAGTATTTCTGATCAGTCTCGGTAATAATTTGTGAATTTTCTGTCTTTGTTTCTACTAGAAATTAGGAAACAAGAGTAGAACTTGGTAAAATATAGCAAATATGAAGTAGCTTTATGTGCCTGTAGGTCGGAATGCAATATTTGATAATCTATTTTTATTAATAAAATAATAGTGATTATTA